CTAAGATCTGAGTGATGGAAAACTGGATTTGAAGTCCTTCTTTGCAAACAAAACTTGCCAGATAAAAACCTCTATTCTGATTTGTTGCCTTTATGATAATATTTTCTACACAGCATGACAGATGTCTCTCTTTGCCTTGTCAGGAATCTGGTAAAATTGTGGCCAATAAGATGGTGGATGTTAGAGAAAACAACGTGCACATCGCCTGGCAGATCCCCCAGTATGCCCTCATCACCGCAGGAGAGGTCATGTTCTCCATCACAGGCTTGGAGTTCTCCTACTCACAGGTTTGCCATGAAACTCTTAAAACAGCGTATTGAATTTTTTTTCACATTAACTGTGTTGCACAACGTATCTGGCTTTATCCCTTTATAGGGCATAAAGTGAAATACTTTAAAAATCAAAATTTCAAGCGGATAGTGTTATGAGAATCCAGGAAAAGATCAAAGATTACCTTTGTAACATTCAAAAACATGGATATTTCAACATCAAAAGTTAATGTCAATGTGATAACAAGAAACCCCAACTTGCCCAAATATATTAAGAAAATAACAAAAGTGCTTCTTTAAGAAATTCATGAAAAACACTCATTTTGAAACACATTTTTTTTGGGTACAACCTTAGAGGCATTAATGCTATAATGGCACTTAAAGTTTTTAGTTTATAAACCTTAATATAATTGTTAACTAGGCTTATTAACTTTTTAACTTTACTTTTTATCTTTTCAATAAGCTTTCTACCTTTTTTTTCTTGACTTGTTAATTTTTTTCCCCCCAACTTAATTTTCATTAGGTAATGTATCATTCAAGGGCTCATCGAATTGGTCAAATGCCAAAATCAGATGTACAGCCATGTAGCAGCATCTTTGCTGAATGGCTGGATATAGATCTTGTGCTTCTAGACCTCACGAGGGGGACTCCATTTGTGAGGGATATGTCAGTGATCAAAAACGGTAACTTGCCCTATAAAGGCTGAAAGCTAAAAGTTACACATCTACTAAGTGGCACACTTGAGTTCGCCCGCTCTTGTTCTGAGCTCTTTGCCAGTGGGTTACCAGGAAATTAGCAAAATGCTGACGCTAAACCTACTTGTTCGTGTGGCTCTGAGCCTCAGTTTCCTTAAGTCAGCACTGGATTAATCAGTTCATCCAGAAGAGAAAGACATAAAACAAAGGGGCCAGCTTTAAAGGTATAGTGGAGGATGTTCCTGTTCCAGGTGGAAAATAAGTGGTCCTCCTAATTGTCAATCATTCTGATGATATGTTTACATAAGGCCATCCTACGTGCTCTTTCCCATTTATACTTACCAGCGGTAGGTCTGACATAGTGGAAAAGTTACAAATCTTTTGGAAAGTAAGCTTGTATGAGCGATGCAAACAGCAACTTTTAAACAGAGCGTGCACGATGAAAAATGGGCTCCTGCATGCTCTATAATAGGCATTTAATAGGCGTTCCTTCTCAGGATCGGGTACAGGATTGTGCATCTGCATTTTATTTCTTTAAAAGTGGAGAGGCTGGGTCTTTTTTAAAAATTTGCAAAGATCCTCCACTATACATGTACCGGTAATTCAGGAAATAGTTGACTACACTGGAAAAATTATCTAGAAATATGTAAAAATTTCTTAAATTAAGTATTTTTACCCTTAATTTAAGTAACTAAATGAGATGGTTTGCCAATGGGATGAGCATTTTCACTCTTAGATTAAGATAATTAGGTATTAAGCACTTGAAATTAGACAATGCCATTGTTTTTTTTCTTATTTTAAATGTAAATTGTCTCGTTCCATTTTTTTAATGTCTCACTTTCCTCCTCAATTCAAGAAAAAATTCACTTATTTTAGGAAAAAATAACTTATGTAGATTTAATTATTTCGCAGTGTGATGCATAGAACCCATTACATGAATTTGAAATTCAAGTTCAGTGGCCACTTTTTTTTCATGACAACAGCCTATTAAACCATAGATGGTGGCAGTCTGGGTTAAACGCTTATTAATTCGACCTACCAATGCTGCTGCATACTCAATACACTCATTTTACCCATAAAACTTTTTTTCTCCAAATCATCAATTGAATGTCAGAAAAACACAATATGCAGAATAAAGTTCCTTCATCGGCTTTAAAATACAAGACAAGAAATGACAAATAATTACCCTGTGGGTCGAAACACAGACGGAGAAAAAAAAACTGCCTATATTTCACAACATAGTGTTGGCAGGTTTGGTCTATCTGTCATTATTGCTGTTTGAAAGGCAGTGCTCTACTACTGCAGGATCTCCAGGCACTTATATCCTGGGGGAGAATTCAAAAATGTCACCTGCGATTCCATCAATACAAGAGGAAATCCAATATTCCATAATCCATGAAGCAGAGTGGCCTCTGGACTCTGGCATTTCCATCTGTGTGAACATATTGGTGTCCAACTATTTACAAATTATTGTTTGACTCTATTTCAGAAATGTAAACCTTTAGATCCTTCTCTCAAATGATATTAAATGTGTCTGGTAAATTAGTTTTTCTTAATAATTTTAAAATAAAGTTATTTAATTGTTTCATTTTAAAATAACTGAGTATAGTAACTGTTATTAAAACAAGTACTAAATTTATTGTGTCTCTTATTATATCCAAAAGCAGTGTTGTTTTAGATGTTCAAAGGATTTTAATGTCATTTGCCTATAGGTCACCCACCAGAAGTAATTAAATGCATGTTTTTGAGATGTCGAAATTTAGAAAAAAGAAATGCATGTACTATATATATATATATTTATATACATATATTTTTTTTCCCAGTGAAAACTATTTTTTTTTATTGTTTTGATGGAACAAGTTGTAGCTATGTCCTTTAAGTATAAAAATGGGAATCAATGTATTTCTTTTTATATACTAACACACACTAAACAAGACAAATAAATCCCATTTAAAATAATTTAAAGTTTTAATTATTTAATGGATTAAAAATCTAAGGAAAATGTGATTTTAAAGCATAGAAAGAGGTTCTATTGTGTTTTGTCATTGTTTCTTGGCTCAATGCTTAAGGTAGTAATTGTTTTTTTTTTTGACTGAAGTGCGAAGCATTTTGTTTACCTCTTTTATCTCCTTCAGGCTCCAACCAACATGAAGTCAGTGCTGCAGGCCGGCTGGCTGCTCACAGTCGCATTTGGCAATGTGATTGTGTTGATTGTGGCCGAGGGGGCGGGACTGGAACAGGTATCCCAATAATATCTTCAACATAATTTCACTCTCCTGAACCTTCAGTTTGTTTACAACCTGCAATATTTCCTCAGTGGATCGAGTTCCTGCTGTTTGGAGGCCTGCTGCTGGGTGTTTGTGTCATCTTCTCCATAATGGCCCACTTCTACACCTATGTTGACCCCGAACAGCTGAACAAAATGTACTCTGAGGAGCCGGGAAAGGAGGAAGATGATGGAGGCGAAATCAAGAAGAAGGAAATTGACGACATGCCACTGAAAACAAGAGAAAAAAGCACCAGACTGTAATTGCGTCACAGAGCTTGGTTATTAGACACTTCTATTGGTTTAGAGGTCCAATATTCTGGGTATTCAGAAAAATATTCAGTGAAATTCATCAACCTACTCACTCTTGAGTTTGCAATCACACAGGAAGCACTGGAACCAGTTTAAATATATGTAATGTTTACCTGAAACAATGATTTCCCGATGATCAAAGGTACCGTTGTTGACTTTTAAAATTGCATACGTTTGCTGCATATTAGCTCTAAATGTTGTGCATATAATGTGGTTTACATTCATTCTATAAAACAGCACAGAATCTACAGATGAAAGGTTTACAGTGACGCTGATTTTCCGTAAGCTAAGTTACAGTTTCATAACGATGGACTGTAACGTGTGGGAAGATATCTCATTTACTTTAAGTGTTATTAAATGGGAGATTAGGAAAAGCAGTTCCTTTTGCTCATGCTGACTCGCTTGTTTTGATTTACAGGGACAATGTAATTCTTACAGTGATATCAACACTATAAAGTCACATGCGTTCTGATCCTATTATGTTGTGATCTGGTTCTTATGCCAAAACCAAAGCTATAGTCTAAATCTGTCTCCATTTTTAATTCAGAGAAGGTGGAAATCATGCTGCTCCCAACAAACTTCTGTAAATAAATATCTGATGGTAAAACTGGCTTGTTTTTGTTTTTATCCAAACAGTGTTTACAGCTTTTTTCTCTCTTTGGTTCAGTTTGCTTCAGGTGTGAATTTAAACTGACCACCATCATAGCTTCACCTATTTCTATCCAGCATTCGTCACACACTGAGCTTTATTTCTGATAGGGCTTAAACGGTTAATTTGATTAATTGGTTTTTAATTTAACTAGTTAAGCAAATGAATAAACCTTAACTGGAGTAATGAGACTCTAAAACATGCCATTAGCTGAAAGAGTATTTAAGATGGAAAAACTAGAATATGGTTTACCCATAACTCTAGTGGGAGAAAATGCCTTAAAGTTTTATTTAAATTCACTATAAAACTTTAAGGCATTTTTTCCCCATTTGATTATTAACCCTTTAATGCCAAATACGGTTTCTGAAATGTTTTGCATCTGACACCGTTTGCATAATTTAATGGTAAAAACTTTGCTCAAAATCCTATTGTACACAATCAGATATACCTGATAACAGAGGGCAGAAGACTACACAAAAAACAATTTTGACTTATTGCATAGTAATAAATTATTAATATCAAAAATTTCTTCTTGTTTCTTTTTACATATTTTGTTAAAAGGCCAAATAAGGACTTCAAACCAAAAAAAGTTATTTTCTGTTTTGTTTTATTCTTGGGTCGGGCTTTAAAGGGTTAATGAAAAAGATAAAATACAGATTAATAATTTAGGAAAATAATCGTTAGCTTCAGCTCTAGGTTATAGTTCTCCAAAAAAAAGTTATGGTTTGCAAATTAAGTATGAAAGAAAACCACAAAAAAAAAAAAAAAAAAAAAAACCAATGGATTGTTTTTACTCTTTTTTTTTTTTTCTCCCATCAGTATTTTCCTCCACTAAACTTTCCATTTTTAGTGGTTGATAAAGTCCTCTGTGAAAAGCCAGCTTGTTCAGTAATGATGTTTAGTACTTTTTCCTTTCTTGTGAAGGACATTTATTAAAACTGAATAACCCAACTGTTCAGGACATAGCAGTTAAATAGCTTCTCTATGTCCTTTTTTTGCTTGGTCTGATGAAATAGTGGAACTATTCAATTACATATGGATTTATAAAGTTCTATATAGAAATATCTAAAACAAAAAAAACCCTAAAACATTTCAATTTATTGCAAATACATGACTGTCTCCTTTGGTAGGATGTACTCTGGTAGCAGATTCAGTCGATGGCCATTAATCCAGACAGCATTATGATCAACCCTTTATGGAAGCATTATTTTTATCCCTGAATGACAAAACATTAGAGAGGAAATCAAAGGTTTCTGTTGGGGGAATATGACTGAATTATTTGGGCCATTAGCATACTAACTGGATGGAGGTGGTCATTTTCTCCTCTGCTGGAGGATCTAAACCAGATTAACGTGAGCTGGACGACACGGTGAGGAAATGGTAGAGCAGCTGGACAGCATGACTCGCTGCATAATGATGTTTTCTTATATTTAAGGTCTTTAATAGCAGGATCACAGAATAAGAGTAGAGAAAGGAAAGGTGTTTTGTGACAGCAGGAGCTACAGATTCATGTCCGGCCTTCAGCAGGTTAGCTTTAAAGATGGCCTCCTGTGTGCCTCTCTATCAGCAGCTCTGTCACGCGGCTGATGATGTCCGGATGGAGCAGACAGTCTAACAGGTCATTAGTGGTGATCAGTGAGGGTCCTGATCCTTGATTATTCTCTGTGGACCGCTCAGATGTCCTTCGGTCCGGTGTCACACAGTCACGACCAGCAGACTGCTGGGAAGAGACGGCAGAGCTACAGGAGGACGCTTCAGGGACCGTCGCTTCCTCTTCCTGACACCTCACAGGGAGCAGATGTTGCCCGAACGGGATACTGAATTCCCCAGATACCTTCCCCCCATCTCCCCTGGGCTTTACTTGACCGCATGAGTCCCGCTTTACTGGTTTCCTCTGGAAGTTTCTCCTCTTTCTCTGAGCAGACGCCATCACTGCCAGGTTGAGATACTGCATGTTTTCATCGTGGGACGACTTTTCTTCCTGGAGGAATCACAACGTACAAAACATTTTTAGACTTTGTAGCCTTTAAATAGAACTGTTGGTTCCCTGCTTAGCCTTCAGTTATGCATAAAACTCCAACATTTTAAATTAATAACCAGATGAAATCAAGTTATAAATCAAGATCAACACAAAGTAGTGTAATATTGTGAAGAAGAAGCTGGTTTTCAGCTTAAAAACTAAAATCTGAAATGCACAGCATGTATTTATATTCAGACACTAAATACTTGATAGAAAAAGCGTTAGCTCCAGTTTCAGCTCTACCTGTTTTGGGGGAATTTCTCCACCAGAAGGGATAATCTAGAGAATTTAATGGTAGCATAAGAAGCTAAAACTCAGTGGGATTGGATGCTGAAAATCTGTGATCATCAGTGGTGTGTTCCTGTTGGTCCTTCTACCAACACATTTATGCTTTAATGGGTTAAGCTCATCCATCTGACTTCTAAGCTACTGTAGAGCTGAAACAGGCAGTCCCACAGCATGATGCTGCCATCAACGAATGTTTTGCTGCACCCATAGGCCTATGGCCTGCTTCTTGGACTAATGATCTCCTTATCTTGGTAGATCTGCAGCTTATTCTTTTCATTTTCAGATGGTAAACTGAACAGAGCTCTGTGAGACGGCCAAAGATAAGGACATTTTGTTTTTTTAACCTAAACTTGCTTTAAAGCCTCTCCTCTGCTTTCCTCCTGCCCTGGCTGGTGAGTTCCTTGACCTTCAGGAGGAAGTTTCTTCACCAATATTCTATATTCAACCCCTGAAGTCCTCATAGAACAGCTGAGATTATTAACCCCTTGAACCCTACGGACCCACCGGCGGGTCCAGCTGCTACATGACCTCGTAGCTTTACCAAACCCCCAGTATTGATGTAAAAAACATATTTGGCACAGTTTGGTGACATTTATGGATAAATGTGCCAAAATGGCCTCTCCGCCTAAGAAATTTCTCACTAATACCATTCTAAAATAAATATGATTCATCTGATTGAGTCCAAATTTGGTATATTTTTACACAACATTTAGATTTGAAAGTCTGTACTACTTTTTTGTGCTATAAATAATATTTTGGTAGTGTTTTGCAATGTTTATTTCAAAGAAAATTTTGGCGAGGTTCAAAAAATGCAAAATATTTTGTATTTTGTCCCTAATATTTCAGGCAGGGTCAAAGCTACAATGGTGCTGACACCAGAAAACCATTCTATGACATCTTACCTTTACAGACGTACCAAAGGTTTCTTCTTAAATCTAATAGCTTTGAGGCTATAAGTTATTTACTTTTGTGTGTTTTTGTCAGGCAGAAATTTATTTATACCCCCTTAGGGTGTAAGAGGTTAATAAAGGGACTTCTGAATGGATCTGCAACTAACCATGCGCTGCTAATTGATAAATCCTTAATTTTTATGCTCAAAAATTTCATTTTAAAACGCTTGAAGCAAAACTTCTACTTGAGGACTTCTGGATGGAACATATTTATTGAAGGTTTTCTTTCATCTTCACTCTTATAGAAACTGCTCTTAATGGGTTATTCTTTCAGTAAATTGCCTGATTTAGTCTGTATATGTCGATTATTAGATGGTTATATTGATAAACAATTACTCATAAACAATTACTTTTTTCAGCCTTGCTTTTAAAGTAATTGGTTGTAGTAACTTTTATTTCGGAGTTCAAGAGTTAAGGTGGCTTTTTTCATTTATGTTCAAAGAAAATTCTTATAAAATATGTTAAAATGAGGAGGATTTGTCCCCTTGGAAGTAAAGGCTGTAGCGCCTCGGGGGCCTTCTCACCGGTTCTTTTCCTGGGAGCAAGATATTTACTACTCTTAACTCAAACTGGGTAAAACCATATAAAAAGGACTATAAAAACAGGAGTAAAAAAAATGACAGAGTTTATTCCAGATCAGGTCGTTACAGGACAGAGAAAAATGCTTAGAGCTTGCACAGCTGTGGTCTCAAAAATCACGTCCGGCAAAGTTTAAACCCGAACAACGTCATCACCTGCTTCTTATAGCTCATGGGTCTATGTGTTGCATCATGTTGATGTTTAGCTGGCCGTATCAGAAACTGACACGCCATCCATGTCTTGAACTTCACGCAGCTTGCTTCTAAGCTTCAGGGTTACAGATAGCCATCCTCTATCAGACCGGCTCCAAGATGTGCCCATATCCTGTGTATTCTTAAAGAAACAAAGGCTGTGTTGATTTGATGACCTCCGTACACACCGTGACATCCACAATGTGAAGGAAGGCCTTCTACTCTGTCTAATCTGGCTAACAGAATAACAATGCACATGATGTATAAATTATAAACCTAACAAATACAATAATGTGTGTGGATGTAGTGTGAAAAGATTTTAAAATCTGAGTGGGGCGCTTTTGCAGGCTACAGTGAGGACGTATGGGTCTTCAAACCCGACACAGCCGTTCTGTCACCTCATTTGATAGCAGTTGTCAGTCGACATGGATACTAAACCAAATGTTCAGATCCTCCTTACTCTGTTTGCACAGTTGTTCTTGTTCTGCCTGAACTCTTTAACTTCAAAGCGCCGTAATAAACACACTGTAATGATGCTCCTGTGCAATAAGAGATGCTCATCCGTGCATTGTCAGCAAAGAGGTGTTTTCAACCTGTGCCTCCCACTGCAACATAAAGCTACAGACCGCTCTATAGGTGGGATTAAAAATTTTACATGAGGTGGATGATGCTGGTGGACAGAAAAATAGAGACAAATTTGCCTCATATTCCCAAAAAAAGAGTGAAAAATGGGCCAACAAGTGCAAAAAATGTATCAGTCTGATTGGATTAAGGCTTAGTAATATACACATAATTATCTCTCACAGCGTGTGGCATTTAATGCACCATAAACATGAAATGTTTACTGCAGCAGATCAATAGGACTTAAAATTGAAATCAGGTTGTGTTTTTTTTCTCCCTCTAATAAATAAAACTGAAATCTGTGTCAAATTGGGATTAAAAAAGCTGTTTTGATTCAGATGCGTGTTGATCCAATATTAAGATCAGTCAAGTAATCTAAAAGGTAAAATCAAATCAAAGGTTCCCTTGAGCTTTATTTTCCATAGTGTCTCTAGAAAGTTTGAAAGAAATCAAGGTAAAGAAAAACAAACTAGCTTTTACAATAAGCAGCTTTTCCAGTAGGAATGAATGATAAAACTGTGTTTGTTAGAGGCAGACAAAGCAACTGGCCGAAAGACATAAATGGGTCATTTCCTTTGATCGGTGATCACAATACTGAGAAATCTGACATTTTTTTATTCAATAAATGCATCTAAACTAACTCTTCCATTTTGGATTGATTCAAACATCTAATAGCAGCATTTACTCTCCACATTTATTTAATAGAATCAAATGGTAAAACGCAGAGACAAATGTTTGATTTAATGGGAATTATCATTTTCTGAAGAATTTCTGTATGAAAGAATCTAATGAACATTTTCCTATTTAATTTTTTTATGTTTAAAGAAATGAGTTTCTTTGGATATCAGTCAGCAAAGACTTACTGGAACATCTCTAAATATTCTAAATAGCTGTCAGTCTTTATATTTTACAGCATCTTTTCATCCTTACGGTTTATCTTCAGTGAAAGCAGGAATTACTACGGAGCCCGGGAGCTGACACGGGAAAATATATATGGAAGTGTGTGCATGAATTGAAGCTTAAGCCAAAATTCAATCTGGGAGACTCTGATCAGCCTCACCTGGATTACCTGCTGGAGCCATACCACCATAGCTAAGACTTGCAAGGTCTCCTTCTTCGAGCGTCATCCCTGACGTTCCTCCTGGTCAAAAGCCGTCTCTCTCTCTACCCACCTCCCCCCCCTTCTCCTCCCCAAGAATTGAATGTCGGGGCAGGCTCCGTCCCATTCATCCTGGGCTTATTCCACCATCAGTGTCTGGACACCGGGGGAAAACTTATCCTTTTCCTCTTAAATCCATCAATCTGATCATCCATCAGCTCTTAACACAAAGTCTTCAGCCGTTGTCTGAGCAACAAATAACTTATATATAATATTCATGGCAAAAAACTCTTCTAATTACAACTTCTCACTCTGTGAGTCTCTCCAGGATGAAATACTAATTTGTTCCCACAAAATACTAATTTATTCCCTCGAAAAAATTATTTGGGCGCAAACCTGTTCTCATGATTTAAGCATTTTTGACCACAGCATTACTTTATGGCACACAAAATACAAAAACATAATCCTGCTAGAGCAGTTAGAGGACCAGCAGAACAAAGCAGCATGATAGACGTGACAGTCTGATCGAGTTTTATTTAAGGAGCAAGATAGAGACATTCTGATCAGCCTGGCTTTGCAAAGATTTCTCATTAGTGAGGCATTTAGGTCATTGACAGGAGCCGAGTTTCATCAAACCTCAAGTGATCAGAGCTTATCTTCAGCGTTGCTTTACGACCTGTAATGCTGCGTCATTAAGCTGATCCAGCTACTGATTTTGATCAGCTTGTTTCTGTTCTTACTCCTCTGTATTGCTACAGTTTATAACCTTTGTCTTCATCATTCACAGCAGCGATCTCTTGCTCTGTCCTGACCATTTCTCCTCTGTTGCTTGGCTGCACAGGGAGCCTCAAAGTGCATCTTTATACATGCTGAAGGCTGACTGCTTTGTTTGTGGTCTGTACGGACGTATAGACATATAGTCAGTGCTGCACTGCACCGAGGAGGAACATAGAGGGAAGAATGCAGACTTTGGACTCTTAAAAAGGATCTTTAAAGATGAAATTACAAAACAGGAAGTAAGGCTATACCTTACTTACAGTAAATGCTCTTTTTGGACACAATAAGTGCTCTGTGCACAAAACTTAGTATTTTGTGGGAACAAACAGGTACTTTGGCTCCGTAGATTACAGAGCTTCATCAAACATTATTTATGTTTTCACATATTTTGTTACCTCAGTGGGGTTCAGCCAGGTGTCAGTGTTTTCATCACTTTCAGTACTCTTCATTGCACAGACGACCGCCTTGGTTACAGCTTCACCGACTCTAGCCACATCGTCCTCTTCCTGCAGAAACAAATCAGTGGAATTAGCCTTCCATATCTCTTAATTCATTTATTACAGTTTCTAACTCTGATTTAGACAGATTATATCTCTCAAGGAAAGGTGTTAAAATTAATTTTCTTTCTGAATTAGATGTTTCATATAATGAAACTAATTTCATATGAAAGATAACCTGAATAAATATAAAATTAAGTTTCAAATAACTAACATAATCTAAAGGTAAACAGCCTCTGTGTAAAGTTAATTGACTTTAATGGTTTTATCTCCCTTGGCAACAACAACTTCAATCAACTATTTGATTAGTCTTGTACCTCTGTAGAAAAATATTGACGAATTTCTCCTTAAATGATCGTTTCAACCCTTTAAAGCCAAGTGTATCATATTTGATACATTAGTTATTGAGACCTCTGAATCATCTGTGTGATGTTCAGAGATGGCAAAAGTACTCACTTTCCGTACTTGAGTAAAAGTACAGATACTTGTGTTAAAAAATACTCTGGTAAAAGTGGAAGTACTGATTAAACTTCTTTACTCAAGTAAAAGTAACAAAGTTCAGGCTTGTAAATTTACTTAAAGTATAAAAGTAAAAGTAGAAACCACTTTTTTCATGCCGTTGCCTACATTTTAAATGGATGTCTGCCAATAGGACTAGATCTCCGTTGTGTTCATTTTCAATCATCTCGTCGTCCATGCTACTATGCTAACGCCACCGCCACCAAGCTGCAATGATTTGCCGCGAATGAATACCGCCGAATCTGTCGATTCATCTTGTAGTGGTGCGTCAAATGCAACGTAGATTCCCATCCAATTAGATTGAATTTTGTATTGATGACGTGAAAAATAATAACGGTAACTCCATTGAAATCATTAAAAACTAAAGTAACGAGCCAATTTTTTAAAATGTAAGGAGTAGAAAGTACAGATATTTGTGTAAAAATGTAAGGAGTAGAAGTAAAAAGTCGCCATAAAAATAAGTAGTAAAGTAAAGTAAAAATATCAGAAAAATCTACTTGAGAACAGTAACGAAGTATTTGTACTTCGTTACTTCCCATCTCTGGTGATGTTTTTTCTTCTTGAAACCTTGACTCACAATCAGACACATGTAGTGAACAGAAAACAAGTTAAAAGATTAACAGAAAAGCCTAATGTATCTAAATTGATGCAAATAAATAATCAAATTTAATTACGCAAAATTCATGTTTTTCAATTTGATTTGTGAGAAAGTTTGATGACAACTTTAATTTTGAAAAATTAGAATTATTTCATGGTTCAGGTTTTTTAAATCAAGCTATGCTAGGCTTTAAGAATCAGCAGCCTGTAAAAAAAAACAGGCTTAAAAATGCTACAAAACCGCAGCTGGATTATTGCTCAATTATAAACACTGAAACAACAGATGCAAAAGTGAGGCCTGAAGAGCTTTACATATAAATATGGGTTCTTTCATAATCTCATTGGGAAATCGTCATTACTCTGTTAGGACGACATTAGGAGGTTTGTCGTTCTTCAAAAAAATCACTGTAGTCCTTAAAAAACCTTTAAGATTGATCAATCCCCATTAATTTTTTTCTTTATGTTTTCTTTTTTTTTGGATCAGGATCATCATGCGTTTCTCTGACCTTTATAAGCCTACTTCATGCTGTTAGAGAGGTTCTATTAAAGTCTCATCTTGATGCCAGACAGTAATTAATGCTGGATGCTTTTAACAATTGTTAAAAAAGATTTGTTAATTAAACCTGGTAATAAAATATGTTTGATATTGCCTTTGCTTTTCCCTGTTTTTTTTTTTTAGGACATACACATATTTATCTGATTGCTTGTTTATAGCTTGTTTTGTTGACCGTTTCTCACAGAAACCGTGTGTCATATGTTACACAGAATATCTCAGATATTTAATTAGCAAATAAAACATATAACCTGAAACATCAGAAACATAAAAACAGTGAATCGTTTTTTTTACTGCCCTGTGAATTTTAGTATAAACATCTTAAATGCAGCCCAGCATCTACTTCATATACAGACAGAGAATCCTTTATTACAAAGCTGCTCATTATTCAGACATAAGAGGAACCAAGATTTGGGAGCAATAATCACTGTTTGAATCAGCTGCATTTCTACAGACATAAACAACCACATCATTTCCAGATTTTTTATCTGTTAGTTTGTATAAACAGAGAGCTCAATTTAAAATATATTTGTTTTTCTGCAATGAACAGAGTTTATAGAGGCAAAATGCAATTTAACTGCCAAACCAAAGAGGAAATGAATAAAAATCAAATATATGATCCATAAATCCTGGAAATAACCTTTTGTTTTTATCTGTTTCACTACCAAAGTAATGAAACAGATGGAACATTTAGGCTAAGGTTAGCGCTTCAGGGTTCCTACACATCTCTGCTTTAAAATGAGCGTTAAAGACCAGGAACCCAGGAAGGTTGTCTTTGGAAAAGTGCAATCACTGTTATTTATGGCTGATACTCCGAAAGAGGACGGGCTTTGAATATAGAAAATGGACATTTAAAGAAAAAGAAAGAAGAACCTGAAGAAAGGAAGGAGAGGGCGGATAAGACAACAGGAAAAAAAGGGGGAAGAGCGAAGCAGGAAGGAAAGAAGAGACAGAAAAATATGGAAGGATATAATTTAGAATCAGAGTACAAATAATTCATCATCTGAACTGGAAAGATCCTTCAGTCACAGACTGCTGCACCATAAATCCACCAGGGGGCGTTATCACAGATCCTTCCTCCCAACAGCTGTAAGACTTTATTACCGCCACCTAACAACCTAAATAAGTTGTTACATTCATGCTTATTCATGCTGCTGTCATTTTATTTGCACATATCTGGTGTTGCTGCTATTTTTTTACATATCCATTACTGCAAAAATGTCCAAAGCTGTTATAGATTTTCTTCATATAGTATTTATTTTGTAAAAACAGTGTACAGTACAATATTGTGTTTTTTCTAATCTGTTATTTTTATACACTTTTCTAAGGTCCACATTGTGTGACCACTTCTATCTTATTTTCCTTTTTTTTATGATCAAAATTAAATTCATTCAATTCTCCAGACTGCTGCTCTCATATTTTCTCAAATAGCCACACTAAAATATTAAAAGTCCTGTTGGAAATTGTAGATATTTTATCACAGAGGGAAAAAAAATCTAGAAAAAAATTACTTAGAAAGACCTAGAAATCAGGAAAATCAAATCCTTGTCTTTCCCAAGCTTTTTGAGACTGCATAGGAAAATCCCGTTTAAACTGTCCGTGTGTCTAGAATATAGATAGCATTTGTTTTTTGTTTTTTTTGCTTCAGTTAAAGAGAACCAGAAAGGGCGGGGGGTGCGGTTACCAGCTCGATCCAGGAGTTGACGCTGACTGTGATGGGATCTATCGACTCCACATAGTGCCACCAATGCCTCGGGACATAAAGCACCTGTACACAGACGATAAGAAAAACAAAATTCCTCAGAAAGTTTCATTTATCAGCAGCTCAATGATGGCAATTAGTTTCTAAACTTCTGTTTTCCAAAGATAAAAAGCTGTTTGAATTACTGTGAAAATCCAGTAGATGGCAGCATAAACCATAACTACCAGTACTGTGGTTACCAGTCCATTCATTCATAAGGAGACTCTATTATAAAGCAGATTGATTATTGATTCGGTCCTCTGTCAGTCAGGATTCATCCGAGGAGAGATTTATCCCCGTTCTGATTTAATGGGGCTGGAGCCACCGAGGAGAGAGGCTGCTGTAGATAAAAAGCTGTTTTTTTTTTATGTCAACAAGCTAATTCTGAATTTAGAGTAAAAACAATCTCAGTGTCTGGAAGAATCAAAGGTTACATATTATGTGAGGAGCTGCATAGGACTTCAAGGAGAACAAAGAAATTGATTGTTAAAGGTGCAAAGATCAGGAACGCCAAACAGAGTCGTCATAGCTTGAGAATATTTACATATCAAGTGAAAAAAAATGGTTTCTGATTAAACTAATTCAGGTTATCAGTCTAAAAACAGATATTCTTTTAAACAAATAAAGCAAAAAAGGTCAGGGGTGACTTCAACCTATAAATCGAGCTCGCAGAAAGCCTGCCGCTAGGTAAGGGAACAGAGACACGCAGCGAATTTCTGGGTTAACGTCACAAAATAAAAGCTGGAATCTCTACCAGGTGAAGCAGAACCGAGAGTGGGTGACAGGGGTTGTCGGTTAAAGCCCTGGCTCTGGCTTTCAGTGTCCTTGGGCAAGAAACTTCACCTGCATCGCCTACTGATGGTGGTCAGAGGGCCCGGTGGGGCCAGTGTACGGCAGCCTCGCTTCTGTCAGTGAGCCCCAGGGCAGCTGTGGCTACAATGTAGCGTATCACCATCAGTGTGTGTGTGTGTGAATGACTGAATGTGTGTAAAGCGGTTTGGTTAAGTCTGCTGACTTGAAAAAGCACTACACAAATACAGGCAATTTAGCATTTACCATTTAAGAACAAATAAAGGAAATAGAAACTAAAATAACCTACAGCTAAAAGAAGAAACATTTAAGCTCCACATTAAAAAGCTGACATCTGAGTTTACAGCAGTTCTGTCGTAATATGGAGCTCATCTTTATCTAACTGATTCATCAGTCGACCCCCTGACCGGGACTTAACTCTGATTCCTTCTCCCCGCAAAATTATCTAAAGAGGCAATGCAGCTTACCTTAAAGTCTAAGCTCTTGTTTTCTCTTACATAGAAAATCACTTAGAGCTGAGTCAGCTCTGCAATGGTCTAATTTTATTCAGAAGACCAATAAGGATATGTTACTTACACAAGGAGAAAAACCATTTCTGAGTGTTTTGGAGGAAATAAATTTGCCTGTCCTTTACTAAATGTACATTCGGAGATACGAGCAAAAACAAAAGTAACTGCGGCACATTTAAGAGATTTAATTAAATAAAAACAAAAAGGAAAAAAAGCAACTAACTGATGAATGCATGTCCTTATAGAGATTCAAGGCTTTTATTAAATGTACATTTTTATTACCTGAGGAACTTTTAAACCACCCGTCACCTCATCTACACTGCATCTGTTTTATTGGTTCTTTATTGTGACATAGTAAAGTTTTATGTGATTGTAAACATAGAGTTAGTCCCTCATCAGTGTCATCAGACATACTAAAGGCCTCAGCTCGGGCCCATTGAGTTAATCGCTATTCTATCCTCATATAACTGGATGGGACATAAACTCCTTGGACTGTAGTAAGTGCAGTCTAATTTATTATTTATCCTCCATGTCTGTAACATATGTGGTGATGCCTATTTTATGCATAATAGGAGGTTTAACACAGAAATCTCACATCCTCCATAACTGCCCCGCACCACTCCATTCCAGACCGCCTATGCAAAGCAAAGCCTACAACCCAATGGCGTAAATATCGGTAAGCAGAGACAGAAGTTGCTTACGGGCCTACGACCTCTTAGAGGCCCCATCACTGACACCTGGTGGGTCCCCTACGCAATTGTGGACTAGGACGTCTCTTTGCAGATGGAATGGTGTAAAAAATTCCTCTTAAACCCACCTAGGTTTGATAAGTATCTGAAATGAAATGAGTTTTTGGAACTTGGGATGTCTGTAACGTGGTAGTGCCCTTACACCAATGGTTCCATTCAAGGTGGGCAGTCACTATTTTTCCGTGTGTGATCATATATACTAATGAGAATTGCATAATTGTATCTTCTTGGCCGATTTATGGAACTGTTGCCATATCCTGGACCTTTATCACATGTTGTACTTCATATGTGGCCCACCCAGATAATGTTGCTAACGGGCCTATTGTTGTGTCGTTACGCCATTGCTACAACCTCTGCGGTTCCTCCCGTCTTGCTCCGCTCCGACTTCCTCAGAGCCCAAGTAGAGCCTGCACTATATTAATATTTTATTTATAGAAGAAAAACAAGCGGTAGTGAGCGCTTTATTTAATATGACATAATTAAAAGTCACCATCAGGATCAATCACACAAGTTTCTGCCCAAACATTAGCTTTTCCTTCTGGGTATTTTTGTAATAGTGATAATTGGAAGTTTCTTTTGAAGTTGTGAGACGCTCTCTTGGAAGGACTGGATCTGATTAAACTTTTAAGCCTCTGAGTATGAAATAAATAGTTGGATCAAGATGAAACATTTGCTTCCTGGTATAGTTTGCATCCAATAATTTAATTAAACGGTCTTAGTTTTTGGGAATATATAAGAATTTTGCTCGAATTTGTAGTTACCTATCTGTCGTTATATATTTTAATTTGACAAACCGGATCTCCTCAACATTCTTTTTCCAGTTTAGTGCGATTGCAATAGATGATCTTGACCTGGCCGGAGACGGTAAAGGACGGAGAAGGTGTACGTGGACGGTGACGTGCAGAGGAGTACTGGTAGATGTGGAACAGTTCTCATTGATTAACATGACTGTGCAAGTGCTCCGCACAACGTACGTGAGCGGGAAGGAGGATTTGGAATCTGGGGGTAACAAGATAAAAAGGCAATATGGTGGTCAAATTAGCAAGCATGTGTAGATGCTCTGATGCTAAAATGTCACGCTGCCGCCAAATCTGACGTTTTAAAATAAAATCTTATCGCTGATGTGAAACGATAAAATGTTACTTTCTTCCACTACCTTGATCAAGTATTTATTTTCTAAAGTCTGTATGATACATTTCTTTATTTTCATTTAGTCATATATGGAGTGAATTTTGTTCAATTATTGTCCCAACTTAGAGAAACTTCTGACTTTAAATTTTCAAATTATTCTGTTAATTGAAAAGCAATGTCTGACTTTTACTTTTTTATTTTTGTACAATTTTTATCATTATTTCTGTCAGACTCAAAATGATATCAGGGACCATTGTGGTTAAATATAGGGCAGTACTGGAGAAAAACCTGGTAGAGGAAAATAACCGTAAAGCTGCAATGGGAAAGGTAAAAAAAAAAAAGGTTTGTGTGTTTCACAACGGCTCAGTCAAAGTCCAGAACTAATCCAATTCAGAATATGCGTCAACACCTAAATGGTGATAATCACTGAAAAAAAAGCATGTGGGGAAAAAACTGTTTTACAAGGTGTTAACTAAGGGGCGCTGAATAAATAAGACTTCTTGATCTCTCTAGTTTTAAAAAAACATGTATTCTTTCATATTCTTACATGCATCATATAACTTTAACCAAACTCCTGTTTTATGATATGGCTTTAGTGAAAAAAACTGCATGATAAAAACTTTTCATGTCAATTTAAATACGATACAGATTTTGTCTTTTGGAAAACAGAAAACAAATCTGGAAACATTCATCCTCAGGGTTCCTACAGCATAAGGCAAGCTAAATTCAAGACTTTTTAAGACTTTTTAATGCCACTTGAAATAAATATTTAAGACCAAATTCACAAGAAACACAAGAAAAACCCGCTTCCCATATCGGAAGAAAGCTAAAAACACACAAATGACAGATATATTTACCTGAATTCACAAACTTTGTTTTAGCAGGGAACAAAACAAATCAGTTTTAAAGCCCCAACATAACCAGCGCTAAGTGTTTTTTTCAGCTATCTTTCTTTTCATCGTTTTCTTAGTATGTTTGATTTGGTGATAAGTGGAGGCGTTGCAGAGACAAGGGTGGAACAAAACTAAAAAAAACTGTCTGTTTCTCAGTAACTCGATTTTGACGCTTTGTGTTTCTCGCTTCACATGTGCGACTCCACTGCCTTAATTTCCATCGTTCTGAGCTTGAATCGCTTCTTGCACAAAATACACTGAGCCTCATGTATGTTCCCTGGTTTTAGCCATGGAGAAAACTCTTGGCTGGATAGACAGTTTTCGTTAACTTTACATTTGCTCATATTTTCCAGACAAAAGGTTAATGGTGCATCTCCCAAATGTCCCGCCCGTAACAACGCTTTATTGGTTCCGCTATTGGAACGGAACCAAAATTTATTTATTTTTTTTTATAAAAAAAAAAAAGGTCAATTTTAATGTTTTATTTAGATTACAAAATAAATCATAATAAAAATAATCCTATTTATGATGTTTTAAAAATTAAGACCTACGAAAGACTGATTTAAGACATTTTAATACCAATTAAGGCCTTAATTTTATTTTGAAGAATTCAATGCCTTTTAAGACTTTTTAAGGACCCGCAGGAACCCTGATCCTGCCTGATTCTCTAACTTCCCTTTTCCATCCTGATACAAATCTGGAAATGTCAAAGAGCCTCTATGGTTTTTAAAGAAAACACATAAACTCTGTAAAAAGTTTTTTTTAGGCTGTTTCAAAGCATGAACATATTAGGGAGTTAGCATGGTTGTTTAATTTGGGAATCAAAGGAGTTTAAAAAAACTTAATAGGGGGTTTTCAGTGACGTCACTGGCCAGCTGCCGGTCCGCCATCTTGGGTGGCATATTATCGTATATTATATATCATGTCGCGAATGGATAAGTACGCCAGCACGCTAGAGCCACCAGATCATGGAACATATCTGAGGAAATGTTCCGTGATCGACCATATGGACCCCTATGCCCTCCACGGTGCCTTTTTTAGCACTAATCCAGATGATTGGCCAAATGTAGAGCACAGCGACATAGTTCATTACCCGGTGTTCAGTGAAAATCCTCTGCACACTCTTGAGGAAATGAGAGCGTACAAGGGTCTAGAGGCTCACAACCAGTTCACATCTGGTTGGGTACGAGATGTCGAAGTGATGTACATGAAGGAAATCGCCATCATACGTGGACGGGTGAGTTTTAATAAGATGGTAAAAATGTAAACAATCCGACGCAGGGCTCGCTATGCTAGGTGGCTAACGGCCGGCGGTGCGCGAACAGTTCCAAAGCTACAAGTCCTTGGAGTCTCATGTGCAGTTTACGAATGGATGGGTTCAGGAGCTGCAGCTCATAAAGCCAGCAAACAGTGCTAACCGTTAGTGCTAACAACCACTCAGGCATATAATGTACTTTTAACTAGCTGCTATGTGTTTCAAAGGTGTGGTTAGTAACGTTAACTGCCAAACCTCCCTAAACCCTCCGGGTTTCTCACATATTTGAGCCTTTTCCCGCTGGTTGAAATCAAGTTAAGGTGAAATTAATCAAATTAAAACACGGCTGAGAGAGGGAGTCCAGTACGCAGTAGTCATAGGCAGTAGTCTGAGTAGCGGCGGCGGAGACGGTCAACATTGCGGCCACGGAAAGTAATACGTCATGACGCCCAAGCCCTATTATTAATATATTCTTACATGTTTTAAATGCTTGACAGTTAATTACCTGTGACAAAGTGAGCACTGCAGACTCTGGCGTATTCCAGCTTCACACCGTCCAAATCGGACCTGGATATCCGTGTCAGCCATAGGTGACGGCGTTGTTCAGATAGCTGTTTTGTTTTTTCACATTGATTCACGATTACGGCTGGTATGCGATAGAAAGAGCGTTAATCTCCACCTCCACGGGCCGTGCAACCAACAATTACACACGATTTCACCATTTTTCACTGTCAATACTGCCTAAGGCTGCCACCCAATATGGCGGACGCGCTGAGTAGTCACGTGAGCGTGACGTCACCTGAAAACCCCCTATTCAAGTAAATTAACTCATGTGATCTCTGAGGTAGCATCTAAGTTTGGATCGTCTATCACGTTCTGACCTGCCCAGGCTCCAGAGTGATGATGTGGGCCCTGGCCCCCTTAAACCAGGGGAATTTACTCAGGTCAGGGTGAAGAACGTCCACCTGACTGAAGATGCTGGACTCCTCAAAAGGGATCCTGGTTGGATAAAGCTTTGCTGTGTCCTCAGGAGGGAAAAGATGCCAGCGTTTCCTGTAGAGAAGGGACAAAAAAAATAAAATAAAATAAAATACAAAAAATTAAACTTCTCATAGTGGTCAAATTTTGGTAATAAAAAAAAAACTAATCCAAAGTTCAAGTCTTCCCTGAGAAGTTGAAATATAGCAAAAGTAGCTGTAAATCTGTCAGAGCCAAACAATCTCTTCAAACCTAAAACTTTGATTATATTCCCTCTATAGTTTGTTTAAGAACTATTTGACTTTCTTGCGTTTTCTCCTTTGATCTGATCTAGCAAAAGGCCAAACGTCACGGTATCTATCAACACTGTTGTATTTTCATAGATCAGCGGAGTCGAAGGACTGCTGGAGCAGCGATTCATTGCTTCTGAGATCGATACCACATAGAAGGAACCTAAGACCCAATTACAAGCATGACACACAACTGTTGCTCAGAACAGCAGAGAAAGATAACGCACACCTTTTCTTTTCCATTTCTTGGCTTGCTGTGCCCCGTTACTGTGGCTCCCCCTCTAAGTCTCCACTTTCCTGCTCCTCTGGAGAGCAGAGGGACAAATTAAATCCTTTCCAGAGGGCAGAGGACAGATCAAACAGAGTGGCAGCAGCTGCAGCGCTCTTCGCCTTCGGTGCTGCAGAAGAGTTAGGCACTTGAAAATACTTTCCCCCATCGACGGTGTTGAAATACCAATGAGGAATCCTGAACCCTCTTTCCCCTCAGTTACAGGTAAATACCTATTAATAAACTTTGGACCAGGCAGATTTTTGCAGAGGCTCGGAGAAACAAGCAAGTCTGTCTGGCATTGATTTAGATATATACAACAATGATTAGTTTGAAAAATCACAACTACCTTCAGCCAACAAAAGTTTAAATTTTTTAATTGGAAAAAATGTTAAAATATATTTTTCGATAGAATGAAACAATATAATTAAAAAGCACTATTATATTTCCGAACAAATACTCCTTTTAAGTACATATTATTGCCACATTCTGGTTTATATTTTCATCTTAAGTAAAAAACTTTTAAAAATACAGTATCTATACAGGAAAATGCTTACATTGTGTTTAGGGATTAACCTGAAGGACATTCTGTACTGGGAGCTTGGTTGAATTCCTACGTGATGCAGTGTCAGTAGGTAACTACATCAGAGAGCTCAAAAATCACATGTAGCATCCCCCAAGGGTCCATCTTAGGGCCCCTTCTATTCAAATCTACAGTCTCCTCCTACCTCAGAACAACTGAAGATACCATAACTATACAGATGAGACTCAGCTGTATATTACGAAATCATCAGGTGTCTATGAACCCATTCAGGAGCTGGGTAGACGTAGGGGAAATATAAATGCGTTGGTGTGCCAAAATTTCCAGCTGAATTAAATAATAGTTTTTGGACCCAAAGCAGGGTCTTAAAAAGTTTGCACACAACTTCAGTTAATGCAGCTACACACCATCAATCAGGCTCTAAATCTGGGTTTAGCAACGGACTGAGACCTGAACTTTCAGGGTTAATAAAGACAGTAACAGAGTCAACTTTTTATAACCCAAAGAACATCTCCAGGATTAATGGATTAATGTTTTAGCAGCCAAGGCTGATCTGAATTTAGATGGTCCTAAATTTGCTCCAGTTTGGGTCGGTATAAAAGCACAATCTTATGTGCACCAAACCAGTGCAGCCTAAAGGGGAGGTCTTGGTTCGGCTCCAGCTGAACTCTGGAGCGCACTAGTTTATGTCTGGGAAAAAAACATCCAGAGCGATAATTAATTGCTTTAAGAAATACAGGGAACACTCAAATAACACACCCTAGATCTGAATGAATGAAATATTTATATGAAAATCTAATTTATTAACCAATGAGGCCTGGATTTGGAGTCGGTTGTCGTTATTTACGCTAGATGAGGATCTTGCAGTGCATGTTAAGTACCATCAATCTGCACCTTCTCCTGAACTCGGCAGATATATTTCCATATCGTCTCCAGTGCATCAGCATATTGTTTTAAGGCTTCAGACAAGTTTTATTTTCAAACTCTATGGTTGCACATGCACTTTTTACATAGAGTAAAAAGGAGCAAGCTACAAATACGATTAGGGCAAGGTTCTCAAGCTTTTCTTGCCAGAGTCATCTTCAGATCATAAGACAGTTTGTAGTCATCCTTTCCTCCCCAACATATTTAAATAGAAATCCTGAAATCCTCTACGGACATAAAACAGATATTTCTAGAGAAAAGGTTTTACCAAGGAAACCAGCATATACCACAGGATGACCAGAGACTTAGAGACAAAGAAAGAAGATGAGGAAGGGAAGCAGGAGGGGAGGGAAAGATAGGAGGGGAAAAGTTATTAAAAAAGTAAGGATGGAAGAGAGGGGCACAGGAAGAAACAATAAGAATGAACATCTGGGAGTAGGGATTTCAAAGGAGGGGATGGGATAAAAGGAAGGAAGGAAAAAAAAGTCAGGAAACAAGGTAGACTAGAGACAGATGAAGTGAGGGTCAGAAGAAAAGTGGACAAAGCTAGCCTGCCCAGCCAGACTGATACGATCTATACACGGCGTATCAGTCTGGTAATGTGTATCAGTTCCAATTCAAAGGTGGAACGGAAAGGGTCAGTGTCATCAGTTTAGAACCAATTGAATTACGCTCTGTGTAATTCAGGCTTGCTGGCCAGGCTAGGGCACAGCAGGCTCCACTTTGAGCAGAACATCAAGCCAACAGTTGAGCATTTCTTTGATTAGTTTTGGTGTCCTTCGTTAATCTGGTGTAGTGTCTAGGAGCCCCCCTGTGTGCTCCTGTATATAGTAGCAAGATATCTACAGTTATTTGGAAGGCAGATTTTTAAATCAGTAATCCAGACCTTTTTTCATGTTTGAGTTATTTCATTTACCAATATCAAAATATTTGTAGCATATTTTTACTTTGCATTGATTTGAACTCTCCTTCATCTCCTAACCAGAAGCAGGGGTAATAGTTTAGGTCCTGTACGAGCTGTGGGTAGTCCCATGTCTCCGTAGGTTAAAGCGGGACCTCTTACCGTCCTTGAACCTGCAGCACCAGGTTACAGCCGTAGGTGTCCAGATGGCACGGCGTGTTAGCCCCCTCTGTCCCAATCCACAAAGTGCTTTCTTTCCCGTTACGTCCCTCAAAGCCAAACTCAGACCACTTAACATCCTAGAGAAAAAAATTGTACACATCACATTTATAAAAAAAAGTAATCAATTTACATTAATTTGGTCATCGAGTGATTCAAAATATAAAAAAAAGGCATATACTTCTCACCAGAGTTGTAACTCTGTTATCGCATTTCTTATATATAAGCAGTTAAAGGGTCAGTGTCAGGATACAAAAAAGGTAACAGATAAAGGTATCTAAGTAAAAAAAAAAAAACAACAAAAAACTTGTCAGTTACAAGCTGTCAAAGCAAAAATAATAAATCCCACAAGGACCCTGAATAATGAAGTTATTATCCTACATGCAAGCTGCTGGAAGTGACAGACTGGCCAATTTATCCTTCTGGAAGCCTTCCTACCAGCTCCATTATCCTGTTAAGCCTCTGGGTGCCTGTCTCATAGCCATAAATGTCAGTAGGTAATAATTACACGTGGAAGTCCAATGAAAATTTATCATCCAGTAAAAAAAAAAAAAGAAATCAATTCTGTCCATTTCTTAAAAAAGGATGACATTATTATTACATTTCCGAGCAGAGGAAGGGTAAAGAGTAAGAGTACCTTTACTAAAAAACTACTGGAGGGGAACCTAACATTTTAAAAGAAGATGTCAAACAGGAAGTGAAAATGGAACCAAAGCTCAGAACTGCTATTTTGGGTTAATTATTTATTTTACAAAGAGGTGGGAAGGCTGAAGTTAGCAGCATATTCTTTTTGTCAAGCAAAGGCTTAAAGGGATCCATGACTAGTTGAATAATTTTGGCTTAAATATGTTGCTAGATTTGTATTAACTTCATAAATGCTGTTTGTGAAATGTAAAAATAACATAATTTTTCTAAAAAGAATAATACATCCATCCATCCATCCATTTTCTGTCATGCTTATCCCAAGTAGGGTCACGAGGGGTAAAAATGATACATCCTCTGTTATATTATCCACCTATGGAGGATTTTTAACTGTCCAATGCATGCTGGGTTGATGATGCGTTTGGACTATCTTCTGCAACGCTTCTTTCGCCTCTCTGCCTGCGACTACACGTCGGAAGGTCGCAAACCCGCACAGACCTCAAGCGGACGTGCGCAGACAAAAAGCAGCTGTGATTGGTCCTTGGTATGCCTCCCGGCTGTCTGTGTGGTCGTTCTCGATTCGGTGCTGGGGTGCGCCATTTTTACAAACGGAGGAGTAATAACAACAATGGATAACCACAACAAAAGGCTGATTGAGGAGGTTCGGAAGTACAGCCACTTGTACGATGCCTCAGACATGTTGTTTTTGAATATAAACACTCCCCTCGGTGCCGCTGAAGAAGTTCTCGTGAGTTCTTGAATAGGCTCCCCCTTTGCACTTTGGCGGGAAACTGCAGTGCATCCCTAGAAATTCCAGACCGATGTTGCAGAAGCATACCAGCAAAACTGGTTCGCGACCAGACACAAGTGACATTTGATGTGTGTGGTTGCAGAAGTATAATCTGCCCTTAAGGCCAATTTATGCTTCTGACGCATAGCCTCTGCAACCGTCAAATCTGTCTCTGTTCTACAACCGTCATCGCGCACCTCAAAAAAATCCTGACTACGCGTGGGAAGGTCGCAAACCCGCACAGACCTCAAGCGGAAGTGCGCAGACAAAAAGCAGCTGTGATAGGTCCTTGGTAGTTCTCGTGACCATACGCCGAAGTTCTCGGGAGTTCTCGAATAGGCTCCCCCTTGCGCTTTGGCGGGAAACTGCTGTGAGTCCCTAGAAATTCCAGACCAACGCTGCAGAAGCAAACCAGCAAAACTGGTTCGCGACCAGACGTGACATTTGATGTGAGCGGTTGCAGAAGTCTAATCTGCCCTTTATTTTGCAAATGGACTAATCTGAGGAATATTTTTTCGACAAATGGATTAATAATCGGATAGCGAAAGGTTTCTTAAAGTAGAGTTTTTTTCTAAATTAAACCAGATGAAACTAAAACTTTTCCTCTTGAGGAGTTCTGGACAGAGCATACTGACACACAAAAACATTTTTTTGTTTATCTTAAATGCAAAATGTTATTAAATTACTAATTAAATCATAAATTACTGCTGTAATTGGGTTTTATCTATCAGCTAAAGACATGTTTTAGAGTCTCTATACTACAGTTAACGATGAATCGATTACTAAATTAGTTGAGGATTATTTCAATCATGATTAATCCGACTAACTGTTTCAGCCAAACTCTTTCTACATTCTCATCAATTTAAAAGCACTCTGGTTTAAACTGAAAATATGTAACAATACTAATTCCTATTTTTACTGGACAGGGGTAGCGCTACAGGACCTGGCACACATCATTTCCTCAGAATGCACTGCAATGTAAACAACATGGCAACATACTTGTGGCATTTTTAAAAATGTATTAAAACTGAAAAACTTTTAGTATTTTACAATACAGTATTTTTACTGTATTGTATTTACATAAAATAATAAATATTTCTAAAATAAAAGTCTATTGTTACAATTTACCCCAGTTTTCAAAATTCTCCAGGCCTGGAGACTGAGATCGCCACGTAAGAAGGTTGCTTTTGTAATCGTTTCAGCTTTGATCCGGTCAGATCAGTTTACCGGTAGAGTCCACCAGAATGTTCTTTAAAATCTCCAGAAACTTTAAGTTTATTAAGAAAAGCAAAAGGCCCACAGCATCACGCCACATAAGATGGAGCTCAGGCATTGCCAGATTCTGGCAGCTTGGAGATAAAGCCGAGAAATGGCTCTTTTTCAGGATTCTTTTTTTTTTTTTCAGCCAAAACAGAACAAAAACTAAGGGTGACGATGGGACACATTTTTGAGTCGGGTGTTGACATAAGGAAGGAAGCAAAGGAGCTCCCAGGTCATACAGAGGTTGCTGCTTTCCATCTTTAAAGGGAAGTTAAATATTAATAGACCTGGTAATCAGCATGCAAACAGTACAGAGTGGCCTTTTACCCCACTGTACTGCATGTTTATGCTTTCCATACTGCCAAACACCTGACTGTAATACAGTAGTAAGAGGCTTCTGAAGCCCTCAGTGGTGGAGGAGGTAGCAGTTTAGAACACTTAGGACAGTGGATTCTGAGGAATGAGAAACAAACAGGACAGGTTGCTTACCTCAAACATGAAAGGTTGTTCTTTAAACAGCAGGCTGATGTACTTGTAGTCAGCATAAGCCCAATACTCTGTATAGGGGTATTCAGAGAAAGGCCCCACATCTGTCTGATGCTGAGTCCAGCGCAGGAACTGAGCCACTGTTGCCTCGACGTAAGAACACTGAGTCTCAAACAGGGGAGCTGCAGAGTGAAACAGCAAATAAACACGACAGGGAAAGGCAATCAATGGAGAGCACTGGAGACTGAACTGATCATGTTAAAAGTATTACATAAAATATTAAATATGAGAGGATATCAGCACTTCTTCACGTTTAATTTAGTTTCCAATTGGCTCAGATCTCCTTAATTTTGGGAGATAAGTCGATAGTCTGATGTTAAACCGTTCTTATCCATTCATCTTATAGACTTTTGCAAAGGTCTGAAAATCAGCCAATGTCGATGTGTTTTACAACTTGAAGGTGTAACGTATCAACTGTTAAAGTTGCTATGGGTCTGTCAGGCCTTTTGAAGATCAGTGACGGACATCGCTTCACCCCTTGTTACCAGGGTTGTCAACGGTTCATACCCTGGGCATGCAGGTGGCGCCGCAGTTAGCGACCCATGTACGCAGGCCTTAGTCCTCGATGCGGCCTCGCGGGTTCGAATCTGACCTGTGGTCCTTTGCCGCATGTCTCTCTCTCTCTCACTCATACTCCTTTCCTGTCAGCTAAATGTTGAAAAGTCGAGCCACTAGTGCCATAAAAACTGAAAAAAATGATTGATACCCTTTAAAGCAGGGGTGTCAAACTGGTTCCAGAAAGGGCCGAGTGGCTGCAGGTTTTCTTTCCAACCAAGCAATAGCACACCAGACTCCTATCATCTCATCAAGTGAGTGCAATCTGAACATGATGACATTATGAAATGACTGGAGTCTGGTGTGCTATTGCTTGGTTGGAAAGAAAACCTGCAGCTACTCGGCCCTTTCTGGAACCAGTTTGACACACCTGCTTTAAAGTATCAACACTCAATCGTGTATCCAGACAAAATACTAATTTCTATTATCATTATGTTTTCTGCATATTGTTACTGTTATTTCTACATTTCTAGATTATTTGCATATAAAAAATAAAAACAAACAACCTAAAAATATTGTAAAATTGTGTTATTTTTGAGTTATTTTACATTCGTAGACTTATTTAACAAATAGAACCTGTGATTCTGTTCAGAAAGCAAGTTGCATGTTGAGATTGTAAAAGGTGGGTTTTTCATGTTAATAAATAGTTTTTTTATGCCGTTATTTGCCCCCTTTTTTTTTTATTCTAATTGTATTAAAAAAGGTACTGAGTATCAAATATTTTCCTGAGTATCAATATTGAGTTTAAAAATTTAGTGTTGAGAAAAAAAATATTAGTAGTAATGTTTCACAATAGGGAGTAGGAATTTTCTTTTTTTTTCAAATGGCATCAAATTACTCCTAAAATTTTACAGAAATTATACACATTTTTTTTTAGATTATTACCAATTGATTGCAAACAGAAAGGTAAGGAATCACATTTAAGAAAGTATTTATAGCCCAGACTGAGCACAGGTAGCAACTTGTTATAATTTATGTCACTTTATTATGGAGTTAATTTTATTCTATTGTTGTTGCAGGTAAAAGATCCGTTCTTTAAAAATCAAACCCATTTAGTTTATGGATATTTAAAAAAATAAAAATAAAAATGCGATCCAGAAATGTTACTTTGAAAAATGTCATGGTTAAAAAAAATAATAAAAAAGATTTTCACTTAGCCGAAATTTATTTTTCACATTTTATTTGACTAAAAATAAAAAAGTTTTCTATTTTTAACAAACTTCTCTTTTTCAGATTGTCTTTTATGATTTGCATTCTCTTCAAACTATGTTTTACTAATTATATTTTCTTCACTTCTTTAAAACAAAGCAATTAAACTTACTATAAAAAAAGGAGAAAAAAAAGAAAAAAAAAAGAAAAAAATATCAACTCAGAATAAAAATAAAATCTAATAAAACAGCAAAATCAATCTCAAAACAATTTTTAATTAAGTTTATTAAAGTTTATGTTCTGGATTTTATTTTTAATATTTCCAATAAGAAAATATTTTCTTCACTTGCAGCAATAATGAAACAAAATCGAACCCACAATATATACATGTAGTGAAAAGAAAATCATATAGTATTCCATGCAGTCCAAAGGTTTAATTGAAAACTACTTTTAAATCAAGTTGAGATTTAATCACCAGTTTATTGATAAGACATGCATGATATAATAAAAAAAAGAGAAAGAAAAAAAAAACATTTAAAATTGAAAGAAAATTGCTACAGCAACTATGTTTAATATTTGCTGTTTCCTTTCTTTATATAAAAGTAAACAGATTATGGTCTTATATTATAACTTTTATACTTTTATATATACTAAGACTTAGATTTATTTGTAATTTGTTTACACAAGTGTAAAACAAAAACAGATTTTTTTTGGAACATCACTCTGGATAATTTAATCTTTTTTTTTTAAAGTGCAGCCTTTGAACATAAAAAAAAATATATATATATAATCAGAAATATAAACATATGCCTGTACATTTACAGTTCTAATTTTTTCATTTTTAAAAATATATAATGATAAAATATAATAAAATAAAATACAATAACCCATTTTACAATATACAATGATTTCATGAAATAGCAGTATTTACATCACTGTTATTATAGCATTAGAATCTCAAATCCACCCATGCCTAGCTAACTTGAATCCAAATTAAGGTTTTATTTTATATGTACAAAATTTTAGTTATCTATAAATCAAGTCAAGTTTGTTTCTACAATATCAAGTATTATTATTATGTCAAAAAAGTATCTTTTGATTTTAAAAGCAAAATTTCTTGGACTGCTTGGCCAACATAATATAAAGTTATATTATACAAACTTCTAAAAACGGGTAATTCAAAAATTGTGTTAAATGTGCAAAAAATCTTCGTCATATTAAGCAAAAAAAAAAAAAAAGATAATTACATAGGTGCCACAAAATAAATACATATTAAGTGTTTTTTTTTATATTTGTACCTTCCTCTGCAAGCAGCTTTAACTTGATAAGAACCAGAGTAAGCCCACTGCAGTTTCAGCTCCAACTGATTTAATGTTAAACATCCACATGATGTATTACTCAGGATTAGGACCATGCACCTGAAAGGAACATCATCCATTCTTACCGTTGGTCACCTCTTTTCTACCAAGCCGGAATCGGATGAGCCTCCCTCCGAGGCAGCCTGACAGATGCTCTGCAGTCCAATGCATTGCAGGCCAACCGTGGGTCATGTTCAGGAAAACTGCAGGATGGTGCAAATGATCCAAAACCCATCTGGTCTCCTCTGGGCTGAAGGGTTTAATGGGGGTTATGGCAGCCATTGCCAGAGGTGCACACTATTAACAGTTTGCAATATAGGAAGAAAAAAAATAAGATATTAGCTGAGTCAGCATTTAATATCTGCAACAAAATATCTGCTCTAAAAAGGAACTGATAGCAAATCCAACAGTTATGACACAATGAGTGATTATATAATGTAAAATGTAGCTGTAAATATAACAGCCTAGTTCCATACTTCTTAAAACTTCAGGCACAAAAAGACCTAAACTGTAAAACACAGCTGATTTAAAGGAATAGTTCAGGATTTTGGACATGAAGTTGCGTGGAATGTTCACCGTCTGTAGCTAAGATGTAACCGTGTCCCTACCATTCTTCTGCTATGAGAAACCGCAGGTAACGTACCAGAGAAAAAGTAGTCCCAGTACGACACTGGGGCACAAATAATCCAAGGTTTTTAAACTAGAAATACTATGCATGTCTTTTGTTAGACTATATCAACAATTTCAACACATCCCAGAGCTATGTCAGACCTTGATATGACTTAGGAAAATTTTTTTGGGCATTATCACTCCACCGTGTACATATATAGGGAAGACGGGTTCTGCGAACAGAAATAAACGACACAGCTCATCAACGGCCGGCAGAAGGAAGAACTCAGTACAGACAATGGAGGGGAGGTGAGATGGCTTTCTGACTCTCAGTTTAAGCAGATGTTTCACCTTCCCTCTGTTGTCCATAGTAGATCTTTCCGCAAGTCTTGCAAATTGCTTTAAACATGCCGAATAGTTAAGAGTTTCTTATAAAAGTGAATTATTAAGCCATTAATGCAATACAACTACATACTGTATATATTGTTTGAATATAACTACAGCATGAAAACCTTCTCAGGACACATTACACTACACCCTCATCTCAGCTGTTGTAAACAAGCTTTTTTAAAGCAAGAGAAAATAGTGTTGACAAAGCATGAATTGCTGAATGCTCTTAAGAGGCCTGTAAATGGCTTTTTTTTATTTATTTATTTAGCCCTAAAAGGACTGTTTTGTTGTCCTACCTCCAGCGGAGACACCAATCTGCAGCAGCTTCTCTGAGCTCCAGAAGGCCATCTCATGCTCCCTCTGTTGTTGGCAGTGGATCCTTCCGTCAGCCATTGGTAAGCTATTTAGTTTATTTGTGTTCACAGGAACTGGCTTCTGCTAGCCTGATAAACCAGACTAAATGTGAGATTAAATGTGTAATTTAGTCCGGCCCCGACAAATGAGACATCAGAAGATCGTTGATGAGAACAACCCGTTGTTTTTCAAACTATGTCTGTTCCTATTGGCCAACGCTCAGACCAATGAGCGCAACTGACTGTGACGTAGTAAGCGCGACAGAAAGCTGGTGGGGGAGTGTAAAAAAACAGCCTGTCGGTAAAACAGCGAATACGTCCATCTTAAAGATGAATGAGCGTAGAGCCTCTTCCTGCTCACGTTTCAACAAAAACCCCATGTCTAATCCTTTCAAAACTGATTCCAAAGCTGAGTCAAACGAGAACTGTTCAATCGTTGTTGCCATCTTCCTTGTTTTGCTTTCTCCAGCGTCAGGCAGCTTTGTTGTCCCGCCCTTCAAACCCTGCCCGCTTTGCATCCAGAAATTCAAAACACATCTCTGTGTTGTGATTGTCCCGCCAGTTCTAGGACCTGGGGCATTGATCGAGGCTAGACCACTCGCAGGCAAAAATGATTTTGGCCGCTGGCGGGTGGGGCTAATTTACTACTAGGCTAGTCTTCTGCACCTAGCTGATGGAGTGATAGCGGCCAAAAAAATAGTCCTGATTGATATCAAGGTCTGACATAGCTCTAGGATGTTTTAAAATCATTGAAATAGAATAAGACACATGCATAGTTGTTCTAGCTTGAAAATAATTTGTGCTTCTGTACTTTACTGGAACTAGTTTTGCACCGATGCAATTTTTTGTCCCCGATACCAATGCCTGATGCCTTGCTGGTCAGTATCGGCCAATACCGATACCATACCGATACCATCCGTTTGAAATTGATGTGTGTGTGTATATATGAAGAAAATAGTGGTGTGCCGATGCCGATACCACTATTTTAGTGCTGTACCAGGGCCCCGCCCGATACTGGTATCGGTGCAACACTAACTGGAACTGCTTTTTTTTTCAGTAAGTTACCAGGCTTTTCTTATAGAAGGAGGCTTGGTGAGGGTGGGACACGGTTACATCTCAGCTACTGACTGAGAACGTTCACACAACTTCATCTACAAGAACCTTTACTGTTCCTTTAAGCAATGTCTTAATAATTTATTATGTTTTGTAGGGAAATGTCTATATATCTTGTGGAGATAGATGGTTAAAATATAAATTCCTTATAAATGTCAGAATATTTTTTTAAAGAAATTTTGGACCCTATTTGTCTTTACATTTACAATCTGTATTTAAAACCACTCATCTATGGTCATGAGCTTTGGGTCATGACCAAAAGAATGAGATCCCAGATACAAACGGCTGAAATGACTTTTCTCCGTAGTGTGTCTGGGCTTAGAGATAGGGTGAGGAGCTCAGTCATCCGGGGAGGACTCAGAGTAGAGCCACTGATCCTCCACATTGAGAGGAGCCCTTTGAGGTGGCTCTGGCATCTGATTAGGATGCCTCCTGGACGTCTCCCTGGTCAGGTGTTCCAGGCATGTCCCACCGGGAGGAGGCCAAGAGGGAGACCAGGACACGCTGGAGGGAATATGTTTCTCGGCTGGCCTGGGAGCGCCTTGGGATTCCCCCGGAGGAGCTGGCCCAAGTGGCTGAGGAGATGGACGTTTGGGCCTCCCTACTGAAGCTGCTACCCCCCAAGACCCGACCCCGGATAAGCGGAAGAAGATGGATGGATGGATGGATGGATTTAAAACATTGGCATGACATAGGAGTAAAAACCAAATAGTTGTAATTGATGAAAAAAATATATCCTATATCTTAAATTGTTGCTCTTCAAATAAAGTACAAACAAGAAAAAAAAGAAACCAGGACCAGGTTCTAAAAGACCCCCAAAGTACAAAACAAAGCAATAAAAAATTCAATTAGAGCAAATAAAATGAAATGAGTGAGCCCAGAATTTTTACATAATGTCTCAGGCATGGTGGCGGGAGGTTAGTAATGTGTGCTTCTATCACTTTCCAACCAGAACTGGGGAAACCACTTCTACTAATAAAGTTAGCGTTACATTTAGTAATTTAACATATTTATTATTGGATGATTGTTTCAATGTGTTATCCACTTCAATGTAAGACATTTTTAAAATATGATTCTGAAACAATTAAATTTATTTTACAACATCTAACCTCTTGAATAATAATTGCTTATTTCAGCTCATTCTGGCTGAGTCTTGATTTTGATTTCCATTTACCGTAAACCAGTCTTACAAATTATAAATTGAATAACCTGCAAAGCTAAACTCAATTTTGAATTTCTGCTAAAGACACAAATTAATTGTGCAGACTGTATGTAGTTTCTAGTGATGTTCTGAGATGGGCCGAGGCTTCAAGGCGTGCGTCGATTACTGGAAGGGCTGTTTTCGCGAGGCGCGTATCGAGGGCTCGCTTTATTTGAGGGAGGAGCCAAAATAGAAGATGTCCGAAGCCTCGCTACCCCGCTATACCACGTGACCGCTTCGGCAAGTGGTTCAGCTCACCCAGAACTTCGGCAGGCATTTAAACAGCCTCAGTGTTCAGTCAAGATGTGGGAGTTTGTAGAAGACTTGCTGTCAGTTGGATAGATTCTAAGAATAGATTGGTTTGCTTTTCCAACCAATCTAGTTGCTTAAAACTAGTTTAGTTAGATTAAACAATGTAATGATCAAAATCTGAGCGAACCACTGGTTACAGATGTCATGGGTTTTAAGTAGTATTGCTTTCAGTAACATTGTCATCTTGCTAGTGGGGTCAGCTGTAAGAGATGGACTTCCACTCTTGAGGTTGATGAGACCCACATCAGACTTTTAAAGTTGTGATATATATCATATTTATTTTTTGGCTATAGTGACTAATTTGTATTGGTTTGCCCTAGTACAAATATAGATTGGGTAAAAACACTGCCAAAGTTAGATTGGTAGACTGGTTGGTTTGACCAAAAGATTGGTTGAAACCATAACGTCCAACCCGAATAAGACCAAAAACTCTAGAAAAACTATAATGTTTGAATAAAATGACTAATTCCTTTCATTTTGTTTATAAATGCCAAATTTGCACAAGCACTTTCACTGTCTGTTTGAGCTTATTTCACTAAAATGGCAGAAAAACTTTGATTTTTCTCTTCTATGGCGTTGAACTCATAAAAAACTTACAAATCATTTTATTATACAGGCCAATCATGAACAATTTCAAAAGGAATTTATAAGGGTTAAAATCAAGAAAAACATCCATCCATTTTCAAACACGTTTATCCCAAGTGGGGTCGCAAGGGGTGCTGGTGCCTATCTCCAGCTGTCAACGGGTGAGAGGCGGGGTTCACCTCATGAGGCTCCTTCTTCTTCTTATGAGATTTTATGGCGGTTGGCAAACTTGTGAAATGTGCATTACCGCCACCAACTGATATGGAGTAAAGCAAGAAAACAGGAAACGATTCACCCCAAAAAAAAAAAAAAAAAAAAAAAAAAAAAAAAAACAGTGTAACTTAAACCAACATAATACTAAATCACATTTGCCCATATAATTTTAATTTAACTCTAGGTCATCGTAACTCTGCCAGTTTCTGATGGTCCCATCGGTCCTCCCATCATGCTTCCAACCATCTCCCAGTTCAAATCTTTAATGTCCAGATATTTTTCTGCAGCCTTCACTATTATTTTGATTTTTTCAGTTTTTTTGTTGTCTGTGCAGTACAATTAATCACTTCCACCATGAAAAGAACAAAATTTGTCTTTTTAACAATTAGTGAGTCTTCATCAATTTTTGGAGATTTCTCTAGAGGTCTGAAATTTGCCGTGTGTTGAACTGTAGGTTTGGGTTTTTCTGACTGAGATGGGAACCTTTTTGCAGCTTCAGCATAGGTTATTCCGAGCTCAAATTTCATTTTCTTTATTTCCTCAGACCTTTTGCTTGCTTCACAACCGCGATAAGCAGCAGTATGTTCTCCACCACAATTACAGCATTTTATTTTAGCTTCTTTTCCACATTTACCATATTCGTGTTCTCCTGCACACCTTCCACATCTCTGTTTCCCTTTACAAACTGCTGCAATGTGACCGAATTTTTGGCATTTGAAACATCTCAATGGTGGAGGATTGTAGATTTTAACATTATAGCTGATGTAACCGATGAATACTTTGCTTGGTAATTGCTCTTCTTCAAATTTAATTAATACTGATAAACTGTCAGATCTTTCTCCGTTTCTTGTTGTTTTTAACCGTTTTACTTCTTTTACTTTTGCACCGCTTATGTTTTCCAGAATCTCCTTTTCAGAAATTTTTAGAGGAACTCCTCCAATGACTCCCCTGCTGATCTTTTTGTTCTCCATTAGGCTGCACTGAACTCTTATCCCGTCAATTTTGTTGATTCGTATTGCTTTGCCTTGCTGGGCGCTGTCTCTGCAGTTAATTAGCAGGTCTCCACTGTACAGAATTCTGGCACCTCTGACTTCTCCAACAAGTTTATTGATGGTTTTTGTTAAGTGAACCGGATTCTCATGGATTGCTCATCACTGGATTGTTCTGAACTAGATCACCTCATGAGGCTTCATCTCACCATCACTAGTTGTTTCGTTTTACAGCAGGCGTGCACCTAAACTATTAAGCTACTTGCTTTCAAACCGAGAATGTCACCTCTGAGGGGTTGTATTTGTTGAAACGATGCAGCTAATGATTTTAGCTATTATACGTCTATCTTAAGGCATAAAATTCATGTTTTTTATTTCACAGTTAAAACTTCCTATAAAATTTAGAACCAGCAAGCTTCAAAGGATATGTTGTTTGTATGGAATCGAGACACTCACCTATCCCTCCACGTGCAAGAGAACTTCTTGCGGATGTAAACAAATATCACGTGACACCATGAGCTCTCCGTTTACATTTAGCATTCTCCACAGTGCAACTACTCCATTTTGGTTCACGCGCGGTTGCTTCAACCTCGGGAAAGCTAACGCGCCATGTTGAACCAAAATGGCGACTGCACAGCCACGGTTTCCAGGAAATCTACTATTTCCGTTTACGCATGCGCAGTAGGTGTAGTTGAAAAACAAGGGGCTGTCGGCTTGTTATTATTTTTTTGCTCAACATTAGGGTTTGAGCGTCACGCTGAATTGCCCTTCGTAAACCGACGTAAAGCTCAGCTTTCGGGTTTTACTGACAAACGCAGCGGCTACTATGGGTGCCGCTTCGAGCACCGAGGCAGAAAGGGAACCGCTTCTTGTTCCTGCGCCCATTGGGACGACTAACAGCCAGCCAGTCAACAGTCGGGTGTATGGCAGAAGATGGCTGGTTCTGACCCAGTTTTCCTTGCTGGCTCTAATGCAGGGGATGGTTTGGAACTTCTGGGGCCCCATTCAAAACTCGGCTATTAAAGCTTACGGCTTCACCAAGTCTGACATTGCAGTTCTGGTGCTGTGGGGCCCGGTGGGTTTCTTCCCATGGTTGCTGTTTATGTGGCTAATGGACAAAAGGGGTGAGTGGTTCTGATTCGGTACTGTGTGTTCTCTATCGGCTATTATGCTCAAGTTTGACCTTCAGCCTGGTCAATAGTCAGACGTCTGTTATTGAGATCTTGATGATAAAAAACATTTAAAGTTTGTGATTCGTTATTTTAAATACCACAATGTTACCTACTGATATCTTTTCTTTTTCCTGATTAGAAATTCAAATGTTTTATTATATTATTATTTTATTTAAAATGTTAAAGTAATTATGGAAAAGGATTAGGGCCACTGAAAAATTAAAAAAAGTTAACTGTTTTTTAAATTTCAGTTTAATATGGGGGAAAAAGTCATAATTCTGATATAATCTGAGGATTCTGACTTCAATCTCAGGATTCTGACTTTAATCTCAGAATCCTGACTTTAATATCAAAATTCTGAGTTTAATCTCAGAATTCTGATTTAATGTGAGAATTCTGACTTTATTCTCAGATTCCTGGCTTTAATCTCAGAATTATGATTTAATCTCAGAATTCTGATTTAATGTCAGAATTCTGACTTTATTCTCAGAATCCTGGCTTTAATCTTAGAATTCTGACTTTAATCTCAGATTCCTGGCTTTAATCTCAGAATTATGATTTAATCTCAGAATTCTGATTTAATGTCAGAATTCTGATTTAATGTCAGAATTCAGACTTTAATCTCAGAATCTTGGCTTTAATCTCAGAATTCTGATTTAATCTCAGAATTCTGATTTTATGTCAGAATTCTGACTTTAATCTCAGAATCCTGGCTTTAATCTCAAAATTTTGACCTTAATCTCAGAATCCTGACTTTAATATCAGAATTCTGACTTTAATCTCGGAATTCAATCTTTTTTTTTAAATTCTGACTTTTTCTCATAATTCTGACTTTTTTCTTACAATTCTGACTTTTTCCCCACATTAAACTGAAATAAAATAAAAAAAATAAATTAACTGATTTTTATTTTTTTTTTCAGTGTCCCTAATCCTCTTCCGTAAGCAACAATTTAGCTGATGTTCAGATTGCTGTTCATGCAATGATAGGATACAAAATGGGACTAAATATACCTAACAGGATAACTAAAACCTTTTTAAATTAAATAATTAACATTATTATTTTTTGAGACCCATTCTACTGGTTTTGAATAAAATCTTTTGTTAAAAACATATTTCCAATCACTGCACTTTACTTGATGTTTTTTTAATACCTAGTGGCAATCGGTTGTTCAGATAATGGACATATCATGTACTAAAATATTGAAAAAATGTGTGTATCTTATCTTCAGCTACCACAGTATACATGTTAGATTAAATAATACTACTTATAATTCAGCGATAGTATCAAGGTGTTAGTCTATTGTATCTCTTATACTATATCCATTGGTTCTGCTGTTCTTTTTACATCTCTATGCAGGGGATGAAGCAGACTGAAGATGTTTTATCATCATTATCTGCTCCACTAGTGAAAGCAAAATCTGATGGGCTTTCTTTGGCATCAAGGCAATTATTGTTATTGCCACATCGCCAGACAGGACACTGTTTAAAAAAAAAAAATAAAATAGGCGTAATACTTACTTAATTGTAAAATATATTGTGTATTATAGAATATTAAGTTGTTTGACCCGTCCTTTAGATTTTGAGCTAAATATAATAAAATGTAATATAAAAACTAAACTGCACAGAGGACTGAGGGATGTCCATTATTCATCAACAGGACATGTATGGAAGCAAGAGAGGGATCTGCTGCCCTGGTTAAAGCACCATATTAAAAACTGCCCTATTATTAGATAAAAAAATATATATATAGACTAATCTGTAAACTAATAGCATTTTGCATAAAGCTAAGTTGCTGTAGTTGGAGCTATGTGAGGGTTTGCAACATTAATGTTGCATAGAAACGTATGCAAAGTTTAAAACTTTAATTTTTTTTTAGAAAGCTCCGGTTATAGAAACATTTGTTCATTTTCGGGAAGAACTTTCAAATTATTATGGGGAAGTTGAAGAACCTGACTTAAGCTTGTGAGTCAGAATGTGCCCCACCTAACCAGTTTACACTGCATCACCTGACACACAGTGTGTCATCCCACACCGAGCTGTGTGATGACAAAAACCACCAACTGAAGTTTTGCTTATTATACTGATTGCAAGCGTGCAAAAGGTTGCAAAGAAATTGTTTTCTCCAGTCTCATGAGCGTGATTCATCAGCAGTCAGGAGAATTTCTTTTGCTTGGCTAAAGTTAGCAACAGTCAGCACATTTTCCCTCTTTTTATAAGTGTTAATATTCTTTATGACCCAGTCAGACATACAGAACGAAGGCTCATATGTATATCCAGACGAACTGAGTGACTTAATCCAGCGAGAACAAGAAATCTAGTTTTCCCAAATTGCATTATCACATTGCGTGACTTTGCTTAAAAGAGAAGTGGCTACTGGCTTAAACTATGTTTGTCCTAATGGATGTTTTTGCTGCATATGTTCGTATTCAGAGACAGGCGTGTCTGTAGGGAAAAGGCTTTTGCTCTTCCCCAGAGGTAGATACCAGTCTGTTAACGAGGGAGATGTTACCTTTTAAAGAGAAAAGGTGTTTATTGGGACATTGCAAAGAAGAAGTAATAAGAAAACATTTAAAACTTTAATTTTTAAAATGTTTTAATTAGTTATAGACTCATCTAAAATTCTGATCCTTACATTTAAGCTGTAACATTCTGACTGCATTTAGTTAATTTAATGGGATTCTTTGAAGGAAATCAGATATAAAACGTTTTGCATCTACCTATGCACATAAACAATTTGCTTGTGTTCAGGTAGTTTTAGATCAGAGTACGACTACCTGTTGAAATATGAGACTGATGTATCAATAGCTGGTCACTCCGGCCCTTAGAGAACTTAATTTTAAACACCTTAAAGAGGCATTAACCAGAGTTGCCATTAGTGTCTGAGTTGAGCTGAATCCCGGTCGCTCCTGAGTACCGTAAATCCTCTAATATAGGCCCGGGCCTTTATTTCACTCAAGTGCATCGCGGTCCAGGCCTTTATTGGAAAGAGGCCAGAATTAGAGACAGGCCTCTATTGCTATTTGAGCAAAACAGACTACCAGTGGAATGAATAAAAATGAGATTTTGTTTCTATTTGAACCTATAAAACACTAGGTTCATTTATTGAAAAAGTACAGTTACCATGTCTCGCTTGGTTTGAAGTAAAAAAGAAAAAAAACTCCTCCAATTCTGTTTAATCCTCCTCCTCAGTTTCCTCCTCCTCTTCATCTCTCCCTTTAATCTCCTCATCACTCGCGCTCCTCCTCATGTTCTGCTGCGTGTCTGTTCTCTTCCTCGCGCAGACGGGCAGCAGTCAGGGCCTGTCGTCCAGCAGCGCAGGGCTGTGGTACTTGTATGTTACTACCACAAGTATAATGTTGAGGTATGCCCAGAAAAAACGTTTATAGCCCCGGCCTGTATTAGAGACCGGCCATTATTTACCTCCTCTGACAGCCAATGTTAGAGTCCCGGCCGCTAATGGAATACAGGCCAATATTAGAGAATTTACGGTATCTACAAATCCTGAATATAACATTTTGATTTTTCTGCTGGTCGGGCACATTTAACATGGACCTCACATCTGCTGAACAGCAAGGAAACTTCATACTTGAACTAAATAAAGAAAAATAGGCCACAGGATTATAGATGCATCAGTGCTGAGCTACTGAGGTGTCATCAGACAATGTTTTAGTCGTAAAGGGTTAAATAAAAAGGCTATTTTAATGGTTCTATTTAGTAAAAACTTACATAATGTCTCTTTAATATAGTCATGTTTTCTGTTTTAAGTATACCTTTTTTTAATATAATATATTCAAGGAAAATAGAGAGGAAACTAAATGTAAAAAGTATAAAACAATCTTAATGAGTTTAATTAAATAATATTGTCTTTCTCATTAATATAGTGACTTTATTTACCACCGTGTGCCTAAATGCCGCTAAAGGAAGTGAAAGTACCCGTGGTTACTTTGGATAACATGGGATCTGGCTTGTAGTGACTATTTATATACCTCTTAAAACATCTACTTCTGCAAAAAAAAAATGGAAAAAACTTAGACGCCTTCACCTATAATTCCTTGTTTATTGCTTTCATTGGTTCATTTTCTTTTTTCTTTCTCTATGAGAACATTAGCTAATGTTGAGAGATATTTAAAGGTTACCAGGCCTGGAACTGAACCTCTGGCCAGCAAATCTTCATTGTTAGTTTATCAAATAGGGAGGCAAATCAATAGTAGACTTATGATTAGTTGTTAACAGCCCAGCTGTTCATCTTTAAACAGAACTACTCCAATAGTTGCAAAAAGGAGAGCTGCTTCACAGTTACACCGTCCATTTCATTAATGCAAAGTGAAGAAAAGTCTGACAGTATGGCAGAGCGACATACCATCCTTTTAACTTATAGTTTTACATTTTGTTGCTACTGTAAGTTATTCTGTGGACCAACTCTGGTTGTTGGCAGGATTTATTAAAGGTTTAGTGGAGGATGTTTTTTACCGGGTGGATCATCAAACGAAGTGGTCCTCCTAATTGTCAATCATTCTGGTGATATGTTTAACCCTTTAAAGCCTGATCCAAGAATAAAACAAAACAGAAAATAACTTTTTTTTGGTTTGAAGTCCTTATTTGCCCTTTTAACAAAATATGTAAAAAGAAAAAACAGAAATATATTTTTGATATTAATAATTTATTACTATGCGATAAGTCAAGATTATTTTTTGTGTACCGGTAGTCTTCTGCCCTCTGTTATCATGTATATCTGATTGTGTACAATAGGATTTTGAGCAAAGTTTTTACCATTAAATTATGCAAAAGGTATCAGATGCAAAACATTTCAGAAACCGTATGTATCAAATATGATACATTTGGCATTACAGGGTGTAGCAGCTCCCCAGCATGTGAATGAAATTTCAGCGGTCTCAACAGGTGATTTTCAATGTTTATTTTCTTTGATGCGGAGCATCTCAGTCATCAATGTCACCGTGAAAACTAAACAAATACAAATATTAGAATATAAACATAAACTTACAACACACAAAAAAAATTAAACGTACCTCGCTGCTTTCACCAGGGAACGCTAAGGATCACAAAGCAAGCACGGCTCTGAGGGTTATTGTCAGCATACATTGATACAGCGGCCTTTATAGGGCCTGTCCTCATTAAGCTGCGGCAGCCCGTGAGGTACATAACAAAGGAAATTTTACAACATGCGATTACAATAAACAAAACAAAATACAAAACAGTGGTAATCAAAACAGACAAATATAATCAAACAATCTGCAATCCTATAAATAATTTACAATAAATATATCCTATAAATAGTTAAATATAAATAATTTACAATAAATATATAATATAAATAGTTAAATATAAATAGTTACAAGTTTAAATAGTTAAAGAAACTTAATTTTATTTGTTAACTACCCATTACACAGGGTTAAGTAAGGCCGTCCAATGTGCTCGTCCGTATTTTTATTTACTGATAGTGAGTCTGTCATTGTGGAAAAAGTGCAAATCTTCTATTGGAAAGTAAGCTTGCATGAGCGTTGCAAACAACAACTCTTAAACAGAGCATGCATGAGGAGAAAATTGGCTTGTGCACGCCCTCGCACACGTTTAAAGCCGAACATACATTGCGATATTATCAATCGTTGCACGCAGCTACAGCTCACACTGTATGACGAAACCGTTGGGTTTTAAAGTTCACAGCTCACAATGCATGTTCTCACACCGTGCGACATGACGCTCTAATGTGATCTTACGATGCTCAACTGAATTTCAAACATGTTTGATTTTCTCCCAACCTTTCGGTTTCTGATTGAGAGGTGGTCACGCACAGCGCACGATGAAGCAGAAACTCGGCCCACTTGAAAAATTCCTGCACGACTGGAGAATCGGCCCAAAAAGGGGAAAAAATGTATAGTGAATGCCCGGCTTAATAGACTTCCCGTCTTGGCAGTAGGTGCAAGGTTTTTTTCTTAAGTGGAAAGGGCGGATCTTCTCAAAAATTCGCTAAAATCCCCGACTACCTTTAAGCTTATCTTGAGTCTGTCGCACATTTGACCGACCTGAAAGTAAATGCCATGTTCTTTTACTGGAGCAGCCTGAAGATGTAGAGGAGTAAACACTGTTCGTGCTCATTATGCTTCTTAGATTTATTAGATTTTTGATTCCGATTCAAATATTTCTTTAACATAGCCGTTATTAACAGAGTCAATAAGGAAACTGCACTCATATGACATAACAAAGTATTTATGCTTTACTCAGTTTTTATACTTTAGACAAACTGTCATGAATGTAGCATTAAACTGTACAGTTATCCATGAGGTCCATCCCAATTTATGGATCTATCCCAAATTATCTATGATATCAACCTTTTTCATTAGTAGAGAGGAGAATGATCCCAGTTAGTGGGCGAGACATGGGGTTCGAAATCCACACTCAGACTGGGCTGATCAAAGAGTCTCTTTTTTTTTTTTTCTTCTTCTTTTGCCTAGTTTAGGTTTTGTTTAATCATATTTTACAGTGGCTTATGTTCACTGCTGCTTCACTAAATAAAGAATATACCTTTGTAAAAAGGTTGGGCGTGCAGGGGGCACAGTGGTTGGCGCACACGACCCATGTACGGAGGCCGTATTCCTCGACGCATGTCTCTCCCCCTCTCTCATACCCCCTTTCCTGTCAGCCTACTGTTAAAAAAGCGAGCCACTAGTGCCGTAAAAAAGAACTCAAAAAAAGGTTTTTCTTTTTTGATTAAAAACGTATCTATGTGTTCTTGTATAGCTGTTTGGCACGGAGCTGTAGAGACAGAAATATATCATATTTAGCAGTTTGTCTGCTCTCTTTCATATTAAGTAATGAACAAGTTTTAGTTCCTTACATAATACTAACTGCATTTCTCCTGTAAAGCCGCAAATGCTGTGTAATTCAGCTGCTAAAGGTTCAACATAATAGCTTATATCTTGACCTTGCCTGAATTAAACATATTCTTGAATTTTGCTTTCATTTACTGCTTTCATAGAGCTGAATAAGTTGACCCAGGATATTTGCTCCCTGCTCAGACTTCTGAAGCAGGGTCTTGGGAAGTCCTTGAATGTCCCGCCCACAGCAGCCTTTGTTACTTCAAATGACTGATCGATCACTTAATATATAATCTGACACCAGACAAGAGGAAAGGAAAAGGATCCAAGGACTCATAAATCATGGCTGTAATGATAGAACTACTGATTGATCCAGAGAGAATTAAAAAATAACAACATGGATTTTCACATCTTCTGTTGTCATCAAATATTTAACAATATCTGTATTGCACGAGTTCTTAAAATACTTCTTCCTCTGGTGTCGATCTAAAACACACAGACGTGTTTGGAAAAAAACACGGAGCATTCCTCTCATAGCAAACGTCATTCTTGCTTAGATTAGATTAGGTCTTTATTGATCCCTGAGGGAATGGTTTTTTTTTTGTCACAGTAGCATCTACTTTAGTGCAAGGAAAGTAAACAACATAAAGTATAAAACTGTATCAGAGAGACAGTATAAAGATGCAACCAGGAACATTCTGAATAATGTTTGAAGGTTCTGTTCTATTTCACAGTGATGGGATCTGAGGGATTACAAAACAAGTGTAACTTGGAAGTAAAAAGTGGTTACAAGACAATAGTCCCAAACATTTTGTAAATTTGCAACTTAATGGTTTAAAAAAAAAAAGGATTCAAGTTGTTGAGAAGGTTCAGAAGCAAATACAGAACCCCCAATTCTAACAGAATACAGTTTCTATTAAGGTAAAAGCTTAAACATTCTCTTAAGGCGTGTTAAAAGCAGGACACAAACATTCTTTGGGTCAGATGCTGAGGCCAAAAAAGCACATATAAAAAAAAAAACAAAACAAAAAACACCAGGATATATTTAACCTTTTTCTTTATTTTTGTGAAAATGATCTATACACATGGAATAAAATAGACAATTAAATCAAATGTAATGAATAAGCACAAAACAGGCCATAATCTGCATGCTTTAGGTAAACAAAAGATGTAATTTTGAATAAATGGCATAAAAATAAAGCATTGAATATACAGTACAGCAATCAAGAATGGATAAGGTCAAGGAAGCTTTTACTAATCGACTGATATGTTAATTGATCAATCGTTTGAATAATCGGTTAGCCAAAGGTTCCTTAAAGAATGTTTTGTTTTTACAGAATTAAACCAAATGAAACTAAAACTTTTCCGCTTGAGGAGTTCTGGATAGAGCATATTTACTTTAGAAAATGTTTTTTTTATCTTAAATGCCAAATTTCTTCGATTTTCTTTTTACAATTTTGGTATAATCACTGCAATAAATTGTTTTCTCTTTCAGCCAAAGCCAAATTTTAGAGTCTCTATACTCCAGTTAATTAATTATCAGTAACTTAATTAGCTGACCTTTTCTTCAATAATCGACTATTCATGATTAATCCGAATCATTGCTTCAGTGCGGGGAAAAGGATTTGATGATATATGAGGATTTTCGGCTGATCGATAAGAAATCAGTCTTTCAGCTCCTTGTATTGATTAAAAAAAAATATTTCTCCTACAATAAGGAAAACAAATTTTTCTCATTTTTGTACATTTTCAGTAACTCGGGGCACTTTATACTTAATGTTCTTACTCATAGCAGTTACAGTGCTGTCATTATGTTTTAATGACTACTTTGATATGTCTGCACAGTACTTTTAGTCAAAAACTTGTACTTTATGATTGCTGTGTATGTAAAATTTTCTTTTTTTCAGTGAAAATGTGTAAAAAATAAAAAAATGTGTGAATGATAAATAGGATACTTTGAAGCAAATGGTTTTTGACTTGATCAATATCCTCTAATGAACATATAAAAAGCACTTATAAAGCAATATATCGTGACCCTATTATATGGCAACACTCTTACCAATTGTCACCCCGATTAGAAACCGACTTTGGATATTTTTTATATTTTCTACTAGCCCAATGCCGGTAAGATCAAGAAGATAAAAAAAAAAAATATGTATATATATATATCCTTGCTTTTGGCATTTACTTAATCATATTTAGTTACTTTAACACAATCATGGTATGTCCTATCCTGCTATCATGAAAGATCCTCATTTATTAAAGCAATCAAAAAAAAATTTTTGCTGCTGTTTTTTATTGTCCTTAAAAAAAGGTAAAGCAGTACCTTTGCAGTGGGTAATAAGCTTTCATAACGGAGTAAAACCTTTTTGCTCTTTGGCTACAAAAGTAGGTAATATCTTTATAGATTAGATGCAGTTTTATTCAGCAAAGCAGCAGATGAATTTAATAAAGAAATATTTATTGGGGTGAGTCTTGAACGAATTCCTGGTAAATATTCCTGTTGAGTGATCCGTTTCAGTCGTGCTTGTTTGGTTTATTATCTAAAACAAACCATGCTCACGTTTGGTTTTATTTTCGGCCAGTTTTTCCAGTTTCCTTTTATCAGCTTCTCTGACATTTGTATTTCTTTTTGCTGTCCAGGCTTACGGGCTTCCCTCCTGCTCTCTGCCTTCTTCATGCTGCTAGGATCAGTCATGCGAAGCATCCCGCTGACCGACCTGCACCTCAGACGATGGTAAGACTCCTGCATGCATAATGGAAACAGAAGGTTTTGGAGGGCCAGTGTGATGCTGTGGGTGGAAACGAGGCACAGAGTAACTTGTGAAAAGCAGTGCAGCCAGAAGTCATGGATTTCAGAGCTAAAGGTGTTAAACATATCTTTTTTCGGCCTAACCTGCTGAATGGGAAGGAAGCTGCAGAGAAGTTTGGACCTCTTGTCCCAATCCGCTGTCACGTGAGACGTCACTGGCAGTCATTATTGTAACTTCTGAGTTAATGTTTAAAATGAAGTTATCACACCCGAGTGCAAATTTCCAGTATTTCAAATTTATTAAAGTAAATAAATAATAATATTACAACAACATACATTTGGGCAGAAGACACTTTACTAAATCATTTTTTCAACTTAAACTAATAAAAGCAGTATTTACAGTAGAAGACCATCTTGTGAATTACTCATGGTGGGTGAAGTGACCAGAGATATTACACAGTTTGGAGAAGCAGTACTCTCAAAAGAATATTATTGAAGTACTGGAAAGTACAACTATTCCTAGAAGTACTTCTGTTGAAAAAGTATCCAGATAAATGTAATTCAGTAAATGTGGATAGTTGCTACCCACCTTTTAAAGCTGTATTTATTTCACTGGTATATAGATGACACTCAGATTCATATTCCACAAAATAAAGGCTTTTCTAGTAGGGAAATCACATTTAAATGTCAAATCATTCTGGCTTAAACATGTTTATAAATGTACTGTTTATCAGACGATATTTTCCCTAAATTTACAACATTTCTATTTAAAAAAAAAATTTATTTTCTTAAACTCTTAAAGGCCAGTTAGTTATACATCAGCCCGTACACCTAAATTCAACCAATCATATATCAACGGTCATCTGTCAATCAAAGTTTTTTGGTCATAGCCTCTTGATTCATATGTCGCAGCTAATATATGCAACAGCTGAAATAAGAAAAAAGAATCGTTAACTTACCATTGAGTTCCGTCCCAGTGTTCACGGGGATGGACGTCTGTGTCTTCAGCAGGCGTAGAGCTAACAGAACTGGCAGCGTTGCGAGGCAAGGGCTCAAACATGTACGGCTGTAAGCCTTCTACACCAAACCAAGCTTCTGCCGCCCTGGCGTCCTGTTGCACAACCTCTTCGTCCCCACTTTCCTTCTCTTAATAAAAAATGTATGACAGACGACACTCATCCATGACCTCCGACACAAAAGTCTCCTCCTCTTGCATGTTTCTGCTGTCTATAGCGTTCGTTGACAGTGTAGTTTCTAAGTAACCAATTTAGTGCCACTTGGTCCACATGGAATTTACTATTGGTAACCTACTAGCACTAAGTTGCTAACTTGTTAGCAAGATGCTTCTAAGAAACTGGCCACAATCAAACTTGCTCTTATTGTGGTGGTTAGGGCTCTATGCCCTAAACACTAGGCTGCCACATCCCCTAATTACATTTAATTACCTTTACTCCCGCTAATTACCTCCCTCTACATTACCTAATAATGCACTTTTAGTAAATATATTAATGTAGAACATTTCAGTTTTTTTCTTTACAGTCTGATGTTTTTTTCTTATATCTGACTGTTTGGTTTTATAATATCTGTCACTTTAGGTATGGTATTTTATTTTATTTACTGGTTTTGCTAGAGCGTCATCGTTGGTGCTGTGTATTCTTGTGTGGAGGCAACATTTTCCTAAGCCGATTATGAAACCATACTGTGTTGATCTTTGACTGGAACCCCTCTAGGCTGACTACATCACTATAGTTGGGTATTAATGTCAGCACAGAGCTTGGCAGCTATTAGTTCAGGCTTTAATGATTTGAGACAGACGGCTCAAAAGGAGGCAATTCTTTAAGATACTTTAAGAAGGTAATCCATGCTGTTGTCACCACTGCTATGTATACACTTTATATGGGGCTTAGTGCTTATTTTCCAGAGGATACAAAACTTGGTAACAAATCTTTTTAAACAGAGAGATAAATATGTGCACATTTGTTCCCAAAAACCCATGCGGTCTTGCTCCGTCCTAACCCTCCTGACCTGCTAGTCTCTTTTATGTGTCCTGCACATTTTAGATGCTTCTCTGCTTCAACACAACCGACTCCTAAAATGAAGTCATTTGCAAAACCTGAGAGCTTGATTGCTTTTACTGTGGAAGTTCAGCCATTTGATTCAGGTTTCTAGAGCAAAATACATATCTAAAAGTTACAGGTCACCCTTCAGAATTTAAGATTAAGACCCTAACATTATTCAGGTTTTGTTGTTGAGAGGTACCATCTCAATCTGGGTTTAGTCGTCATAGAAAGGTGGTTTGAAAGGTGACATGATTTGGGCTACGTTCACACTGCCGCCTGAAGTGACCCAAATCCAAATTTTTTGGCCCATATGCGACCCAAATCTGATCTTTTCATGGCTGTCTGAACAACACTGATCCAATTTTTTTCCAGTGCGACCCAGGCCACTTGGCTATGTGATCCTGAAACCGATACGAATCTGATCCTTTCAAATGCGACATTTGTCTGAACGCTAGGTCGCATTTATCCGACCTGAACGCCATTAATACCCGACAAAGGTACTTTGGGTCTTGCTATGAAAAAGCGGCAAGAAAAACAACAACCACGGCAGACGATAATGCGGAGAGCAGTATTTATTAGGGATGCACGATATTGGGGTTTTGGCCGATATGCCGATATTTTAAAACTCATGTAGCCGATAACCGATATCGATACCGATGTTAAAGCTCGACAAAAATAAGTAGTCATTGAAAATAGCAGTTTTGTTATCCATTTCTGACACTTTGAAAAATAATATACTCAAATATATTTTCATATGCTGATAACAAATAGATTTTTAAAAACGCGGTATCGATCTATTTTACTTTCAAAATCTCGTGAAATTTCATCGTTCTGTTACAAACTCTGGTGATATTTTGCAAATTCTTGTGAGATTTTGTTAGTAAAATAGATCGATGCCGCGTAAATATATCAACATATAAAAATATGGCAAAATTTCGTGGATTTTTCGGGGGATTTCGTAGCATAACGATGACATATAGCAATATTTCATTAGTAAAAGAGATTGATATGGTGTTTTTAAATGGCAACATATCAGCATATGAAGATATTGTGATATTTTAACGAATCAATATTTTTTCCCTCGTCTTTAGAAGTTTCTAAGTCTGTAAAAAAGAAGTTTTTGAGGAAGAAGAAGAAGTAGTTTTTTTTTTTAGACTTTAGAAACTCAGAAGCTGATCAAATATCGGTTTAAATATTGGTGGGGTGGCCGATGTCCGATATTCAGTTTTAAGGCCGATACCGATAGGGGGCCGATTATATCGTGCCTCCCTAGTGTTTATGTTGAACCATCTTGAAAAGATTGTTGTTTATATAGTTGGGAAAGATCGCTAGATGCGCTCCGGCACTACCATCCATGTTTACTTCCGTAAACACGAAGCACGCTTGCTTGTGACGTCATTGCGTCCTCTACTGCTCATGCGGGAGACTCGCATTGTACGACTGCAGTTTACACAGCAGATCATATCAAGTCGCATATATTTGGAAATGTGAACGGCAACATAAAGAAAATTGGATTTCACAAAAAAATCTAAATTGAGCATCAAGGCCTGCAGTGTGGATGTAGCCTTATTTGTAACACAAAGACAACGGAACAATGGAGCACAGGAAAGACATTGCTGCTCAGTCTAGATTAGGGCTGAAACAATTAATCGGATTAATCAGTTATTGAAACAATCGTCAACTAATATAGTAATTAATAAATCGTTAACTGCAGTATAGAGACTCTAAAACATGCCTTTAGCTGACAGAGAAACTCACTTATAGCAGTAAATTGATCAAAAAAAAAAATGTATGAACATTTTGCTTTTAGAATAAAATAAACTTTTTTATTCCATCAAAATGCTCTATCCAAAAGCTTTAGTTTTACCTTGTTTGATTTCGAAAAAAAATCTCCTTTAAGAAACCGTTTGATATTCAAAATAATGGTTAGTTGCAGCCCTTATCTAGAGTCTTTGTTAGATTTAAAGTAAGTAAGAGAGGTGAAAATGGCTGTTGGCTGCAAGACAAACAGTTGGAATGGATTGAAGCTGACCTTTGGATGTTAAAGGAGTCATTACCTGGTATTTTACATATACAGTCCTTCTAATATGGCTTTTGATTTAATTTAACACCCCATATGATACCTTTTTTTTTTCTTATGGTTTGCATTAAAATTTAACTTGTGTGTTAATGTATGTGTGTTAATTTAGCGTTAGCAACGTTACCAGTTTACCATTGTTTACCATTATGACTAGGGCGGCAACTAAAGATTAATTTGCAAATCGATTAAACTGTTGATTATTTTTTCCATTAATCGATTAATGATCAGATAGCCAAAGGTTCCTTAAAGACGTTTTTTTTTTAACAAAATTAAATCTTTTCCACTTGAGGATTTCTGCATATAGCATATGGGTGGACAAAAAATATAATTTTTCTTAAATGGAAAATGTTTATATATATGTATTTTTTTGTTTTACAATCTATGTATTATTACTGTTCTAAGTAGGTCCCTCTGTCAGCTAAAGGCATGTTTGAGAGTCTCTATAGTCCAATTAACAACTAATCAATAACTAAATTAGTTGACGACTATTTCAATAGTCTATTAATCAGGATTAATCTAATTGTTTCGGCCCTAGTCATGTCAATGTCTCTTACACAATTGTTAAAAGGTTACACACTCCGCAGCACTGACCAACTGCCTGCAGGGGAGTTTCTGATTGTTGGAATCGGCCATTTTTAATGAAAAAGAGGCAAGTATGGTAAGAGCACGGTGTGGCTAATGTTAGCACCCTTCCATAGATTACGTTAGCCAAGGAGGAGAACCCAAATTGTGGGCTTTTTTTGTACAAACAAAGGGCACTCATGGAAAGAAACAAAGAAAAAACGCTTTTACTCGCACACTCTGGGTTGTCTGGCCTGTCTTAACATTAACACAAACGTTTTAAT